CAAGAGTGACATAAGAATGCCATCCATTGTATAAATAAATACGGAACAAAGTTGAGAACAGCGCTCTGGTGAGATGTGATAAGTCTGGGGACCCAGATACCTCTGTTCTTGCCCCATCTCTGCATGCACAGAGGTATCTGAATCTAAGTACCAAGACACTTTCCATCTTTCTGCCTCAAGCTCCAGTTCTGTAAAATGGGGATCCACTTAATGGATTATGGAGAAGACAAGACCAAAAGAGAACAATAGTGAAAGCATTCCTAAGTGTTAAAAATGCTGTAGCATGGGTTCATAAATATTTAATTTAGGGTTTCAAAGGCCTCTCTATATACAGTAAAGCAGAAATTACTTCCAAACCATCCATTTACTTAACATAAAGAAAACAGAAACCTAGAATTACCAACAGGACATGACCTATATATATTATTAGAATGGGCTTAAATTGCATGATTTCTGCTTTACCCCATGCAACTCAGCAGGTGCCAGGCAGTCTCACGCAAGCTTGCTTTCTGATGCCTGGCTCAGCAGATGAGGGCTGTGAGTGGCCCTCCTGGGGCAATCGTCTTGATGATGGCCTGGAGTGTTTGCACACATGCTAGTCTGTGTGTCTCCAGAGGAGGCCCCAGGCTGCCGCTCCCTCACTCCATCCATGAAAATGACATCCTTTGGGTCCACAGCTCTTTACAGTTCACAAAAATTTTTGTCCAGCTTACATGGGGCTTTGTCTCATTTAATCCTTCCAACTACTCAAAGAAGCAGGCAAGACAAAGTGAGCTATACCCATCTTATGGATAATTTCCTCAGGAGAGGTTGACTTGCCCAAGATGCTATTAGTGGTAGAGCTGTGCTAATCCCAGTGCATGACTTGGCCACTATTTCCACGTTTTTTTTGTTTTGTTTTTTTTTTTAACATATTTTATTGATTTTTAACAGAGAGAGAAAGGGAGAGATAGAGAGCTAGAAACGTCGATGAGAGAGAAACATCGACCAGCTGCCTCCTGCATACCCCCTACTGGGGATGTGCCTGCAACCAAGGTACATGCCCTTGACCAGAATCGAACCCGGGACCTTTCAGTCCGCAGACCGACGCTCTACCACTGAGCCAAACCGGCTTCGGCTCCACGTGTTTTTTGTTATTAATTTAACAACTTCACTGAACACCCGGCATGTCAGCCAATGCCAGGTACTCCTACTCATCAGTTTGCTCTTCTGAGTGAGAGTTTATTCAAAGCCCCTGCCTCCCACACCTCCCCATGCAGTTGAGTGTTGAGTGTTGAATGAACGAAACCATTGAGCAGGTCACAGGAGCTGGGCGGTAGTGCAGTATGACAGTTAAGAGCTCTAGAACCAGACTGGCCCAAATCCCAGTCCTGCCACCCACTATGTCAACTTCCTGTTTCCTTATCTGTAAAATGGTAGTAATAGGTCTGTGAAGATTGACTTAGTGGGGATAAAAGACTTACAAAAGGACCTATTACACAATAAGAACTCAATAAATATTCTGTAATTATTTCCTTAGCATGGTCTTAAAAGGAAACAAGGCAAGGTTTAAAAACAAAAGGGTTCCCTTTAAATCTGTTCCTTAGGTCCCTAAGCTTTCAAGACTTTGGCCCAGAAAAAGTCCTTCCCTGTTTGGGCAGAGCAGACAGCTCTTTGCTGAATTTACACACCACCCTCCCTACTCTTGTCTCCACCTGCACCGTGCTGGCCCCATGCTCTTAGGACTGGATTTTGGTTATGACCTTCTGGCTGGTTTCTTGGGTTTTCCCTCTTCTCTTTTCCAATCATTCTCTACTTTTCTTCAAATAATTTCCCCCAATACTCATTCCTCAATTACTTTTATTGAGCACATGTCTATAGGCTAGGCACTGTAGTAGGTGCTGAGATGAGCTGCCTGAACCTCCTTTTAGGAATGAAGGACTTGCTGCCCTAGCTGTTAAGAGTGCTGATGGCAAAGTCCTTCGCTGTCAGTCCCATTGGGGGAATTCTCAGCCGAAGAAAACTTCCTTTCTCAACTTCACATCTTCTTGTAGCAGCCAGCATTCAAAGACTGGTCAACTCAGCAGATAAAGGCCTGCCTGAGTCATTGTCTCAACTCAGGACAACTCTGCAGGGCTATCCAGCTCTAGATTGTGGGGCCTTCAATGCTGCTCAGCTTCTCCGTCTGCTCAATCCTGGTGCTGGTCCCAGCAGCAAACCCCAATAAACATTCTGCATGATTTCTTCACACTGCTTCCCAGGAAACACAACCTGTGGCAGGCACCTAAGACACAAGGACGAGCAAGCCATGGTCTGGCCTTCTAGGCTAACAAGGCAAAGTGGGATTTACAATTTTAACAATGGCAAGCAGCTTATAACGGGGGAAGCACAAAATGCAATGAAGCCCACTTGGAGGGAGGCAAGGTTGAAGGGAGTACACGCTCCAGGTTCAGGGACCCCGAGAGGCACTCCAGCCAGGTTGTGAATCCAGCCTGCCAGCCTGCTGCGATTTCCCCAGGTTCCAACATCCAGTCTGCATGTTCAGGCTGGTGCAGATCCATAAACTGATGATTCTAGAGATGTTTCTTACACAGGCTTACTGAGTGGCTTTTACTAGAATTTTACATTCTAAAATGACAAATTAACCCTGGGCATAGTCAGCAAGGGTACATGGCACCTTTTCCCCTATTTCTAAATTCTAAAATTTGCCTGGAAAACAGTGAAATCTTAGCTTGACGTTAGCAGGGCAGCTCCAACCTCAGCAGTTGGAAAAACCAGCTTCCCAATGGTTGGGTTAAATGGGCTCTCCAGTGTGAAAGGAGTGGCTACTGTGATGGGCCATCTGTGGTGACCAGGGGGCTTTCCACTTATACATGTCAAATTTCTCTGCCCTGAACTTCCTGGAATGGAGTTGACATTGTCTATATTTTCCCTCAAGACAACTATCTTCTGCCAGTTCCCCTCTTCTAATCTCCAGAAGTTCACCCTACCCTGAATGTAGGCGTTCTCATCTGCTACAATTCATTCACCCCAATTTTCTGAAGGCCTGATATATAGGCCTGTATTGTCATATACAGGCTCTTCCTGTTTTGTTCCTGGAGTCATGACATTGGAAACCAACCTGAAAGAGCCCTTTTTGACACTTGATCTTAGCCAAAAGGCCGAGAAGCGATTGAAAGAGCCCTTTTTGAGAGCCTGGCAGGGCTGAACAGTCCCAGAGACTGGAAACTTAACTCTCAGGAGGCAGCCTGAGCTATTAAAATTTTCCCTTCCTTTGAATCCAAACTTGTCTACCTCTAGAATCACTCAGAAAATTTGCTTTTCCCACAATAGTCTTTCAAATCAGACTGGCCACACTTAGTGAATCATATGCATAATAGCTTGTCTGCTAATCCTCAATACAACCCTATCAAAAAACCAGGAAGAGGTATTCAAAAAGGTCAAGTGATTTCTTACACACCTAGTATTTCTTAGTCTGGTGACTCCTATCACCAGTAATGGCACTGGGACTTGATCTTAGACCCAACTCCAATGTTCTTTGTACAAAGTCACCCACCTTCAAAAGAAGCAGATTCTGTCACAGAACCCTTCAGCTGCACTCTCACCAACTCTAAGGACTTAGGGAACTCATGTCGGGATTCACAAACTAGTGTGAGGTGAAGGAGCTGAGCCTGGCAAACAGGAGGCACAAATCCCATACCAGATGGCCCCTAACTGGCCCATCTGCAGGTGTGAGGTTGGCAGAAGCGCTGGGGGCTGTGAGAAGCTCTTAGGAGGATGAGGGTTCACAAAGCCACAGACATAGTTAAAAGAACCTCTCCTGTGGACTTCTGAAAGGGAGTAAGAGAGGCTGAGGAGGCAGGCCTATTAGTGGCTCTTCTGCTGTTTTCATTCATCCATCACTGCCTGTTCTATGGTAAATCAGCAGAGACTTCCTGTCTGCTCATTTACTCCAAAAACAGGTATCTCCCTCCCAGCTACCTGCACCATAATCTCACCAGCTGAGTTAACATTCCTTGGTTGAACTTTGTGACTATAATTCTCCACGAAGCCAGCAAGTTCCTTCTGTTGACTGGTTTCCTTCATCACCACGGAGAACACAATGTCTCTATGTTAGTGTCTTCTGTATAGCAATTACATAGAGCAGCTGAGCCCTCGAGAAACAATATTTATAATCATACTACCCTGTTAAAAACCCCACCCCACACTAAGACTGCTTAATTTGAAAACAAAGTACTCTATTTCTTCCCATTAGACACCATTTTCAATTTCTTCCAAGGCCCCTCTTTCTATACATGGTTAGAGGAAAAATAAAGAAACCACCCAAGCAAAATGGGGACAAAGACAGTTTCTCTTCAGACCCTTCTGAAGGTCCTGATCAAAGAAGCAGGGTGAGCCTGGGCCAGAGACCACGGGAGAAAGTAGATGACAAACCTTGTCTAAAGCTGCAGGATTACAGAATCAGTTCACTCTCTTAAGCTGTGAGGCTGAGGCCACACTACAGGGACCAGCACCACAGTGATGTAACACACTGCCCTTCATCCAAACAGCCCAGCCCACCGCAAGCTCAGGCAGGTGACCTTTGAGCCCAGTGGCTTTAGATGTCTCCTTCCAGGGTCAAGGCTGGTGATGCTATAACGCCCTCCTTGTGATTGATACAAATGTCACAGGAGAATAATAAATCAGAGAGCCTACACCTCTTAACACATTGCAGCTCTGCCAGGGAACAGCAGAGATGAGGCAAGAAGATTTAATTTACACAGCAGCCACTTGGGGCCCAGTCAGAGCTGGGGCAATGGGGGAAGCATAACCCCAGAGGGTAACCCCTACCCCTTCTACTTACAAGACCAGTCCTCACAGACCCTTAGATGGGGTTCCCTGGATTGTGCAGGAGAGATTTGGGATTAAGGCTGTCCCCAAAGTCAGGGGAGGTCCGTGGCCTGGAGATGGTTCCCTACATGGTAGCCCAGGGGTCTGAGAGACCAGTCCATGTCCTGGGCATAGCCCTCAGCTTGTTCGGCCTAGAGAAAGCCCTCACGGCGGAACTGTTCCTGGAGAAGGGCACGGTACTGGTCAAATCCCCCCTCAATCCGGGTGACGCCGCCTCCTTCGCACACCCACAACTCCTGGCACACCAGCCTGATGAAGCGCTCATCGTGGGATACCAGAATCACGCCACCCTGAAAGACAGGAGACCAGAGGCACTCAGGGGGGGCGGGGCTCAGGAGTCCCAAGGCCTGGCCAGGAGTGGGCATTATGAAGACACACTCACCCTGAAATTGTTGAGAGCACGGCCAAGAGCCTCAATTGTCTCCATATCCAAGTGGTTTGTGGGTTCATCCAGAATGTAGAAGTTGGGGCTAGAAGGCAGAACCCAGAAAGGTGGATAGTTATGGGGAGCTGGAGAAATCATGAACTCTTCTGATATAAAGACAAAGAGAATTGTTTTGTACTAGGCCAGAGGGAACAGGGAGGGCAAGAATTCTAGAAAGCAAGGCCTTACCAGGGCATAGTCATCTGAGCAAAGGCTACCCGGCTCTTCTGGCCCCCAGACAAGCTGGCAACAGGGCGCACGGCCAGTTCTCCAGAGATGCCATACCGGCCCAGCTGGTGACGGTACTCCTCCTCAGGACGTCCTGGAATAGGCACCATTCGATCATGGCCCAACTCCCTCCCTTCACCCTCTCCCCAGCCCCACCTTCAAATATCTCTGTCCCTACCCCTAGACTTGAGTGAGCTGCTCAGCAGCTCCCCAAAGGAGGCCTAACTGTAGGCAATACCCTGAGCCTTTCTCCTGAACCCCAAGCCCTAACACACCAGGAAACTTGTGTGACAGCAGCTCCACAGCACTGACGTTCAGGTCCAGCTGGTCCACGTGGTGCTGGCTGAAGTAGCCAATCTTCAGATTCCTGTAGTCAGAAATGAAAGGTGCAAGAGGGGATGAAAGGCAAGGACATAAAGAGTGCAGCTGCAAGTGTAGGAGTAGTTGGAGAGTGAAGGTGTAGGCCCTACCGGTGAGCATGTCTGATGCCTCGAACAGGTGTTAGGTCCCCCATAAGCAGCTTCAGCATGGTAGACTTCCCAGCCCCATTCTCCCCAACCTATAAGAAGAAACATGAGAACTTTAGAGTGTACATGCATAGGACACAAAAGGAAAGGAAAGGAGAATTGGACTTGGGTAGTCCCAATGACTCTTTCAACTAAAATGTTTTTCTGAAACTCAAAAGAAAAATGAAGGGGGTAATAAATATATAGAGACAACCGAAACAGGTTGGCTCAGTAGATAGAGCTCATCAGCCTGCGGACTTAAAAGGTCCTGGGTTTGATTCTGGTAAAGGGAAGGTACCTTGGTTGCAAGCACATCTCCAGTAGGGGGTGTGCAAAAGGCAGCTGATGACTCTCTCTTATCAATGTTTCTAAATCTTTATTCCTCCCCTTTCCTCTCTGTAAAAAATCAATAAAATATATTTTAAAAAATAAAAATAAATATGTAGAGAACCTAATACTTGAGTACCTAGTAAGTGCTGGGGATTTAACTCTCCCAATAACTAAGTGAGGTAGACGCTATCTCCATTTTAAAGATGAGAAAATGGTTTAGTAACAAAGCTGGGAAATGGCAGAGTCGGGATCTGAATCTGACCCTGAAGCCTATACTCTCTCCTCTTTGTTCCATGGTTTGAGAAAACTGAGAGCGGAGATGAGCAAGATAGAATACTGCTTCAAGTATTCATCAAGTACCACATGCTGTTCTTTTCACCTCTGCAGGGCAGACCTGTGAGGCTGGAACAGTATAAGTATAGCCAAGTCCTTGGCTCAGGCCCTGACTCCTATCCAGTGGATCTCTTCCCCCTGCAGCCCGAAGATCTGGGCCAACCCCCAGCATGTACTGGGGTGGGAGAGTCCTAGCTCCTGGAACCGAGAAACAACAACCATACCACACAGATGCGGGATTCAAGATCAGCAGAGACGGAGAGACGGCTAAAGATGATGTGTTTAGGATCATAGTAGAAATCCACCTCATCTAGTTGCAGAATTGGTGGTGAGAACTTCTCAAACCCATCAGGGAACCTGTGGGAGGGAAGATGGGAATGAACAGCACTGCAGTGGCCAGAAACAAGAGCTTCCAACCAGCCCCTCTGGCCCAGCACTCACTTTATCACTACTTCCAACTCCTTGTCCACGGGTTTCAGCTCTGGCCTGAGGAAAGAGGGGCACTCTAGATTTATGACTTTTATTTGTCCCATCACACAAGAAATATATGCTCAGAAAAGAAAACTTAGAAAAGCTTGTAGTCTCACCACCCAGATAATATTCTTATTTTCAAGTATAGTTTTGTACTACATAACAAGGTTAACAACAGACCGCATACATGAGGGTGGTTCCATAAGGTTATAATGAAGCAGAAAATTCCTATCACCCAGTGGCATCAGAGCCAAGTCATAATGTCATACCACAATGTCTGTAGTGATGATGGTAAAAATAAGCCCACTACACTGCCAGTTGTATAAAATACAGCACATGTAATTATGTACAGCACATAATACTTGATAATGATAATAAATGACTATGCTACCTATTTATGTACTTTTTGCTGTAAATATCCTGTGGCTACTAGATCTCTCTTTTTAATACATATTTTTATTTATTTCAGAGAAAGAAAAAGAGATCAATGATCAGAGAAAATCATTGATCAGCTGCTTCCTGCATGCCCCCTACTGGGGATCAAGCCCCTAATCCAGGCATATGCCCTTACCAGGAATTGAACCGTCCCCTCCTGGTTCATGGGCTGATGCTCAACCACTGAGCAACATCAGCTGGGCTTTTCTATAACTTTTTTATGTTGAGTTACACAAATACTGTGTTATAAATGCCTACAGTATTCAGCATAACAACATGCCGTACAGACCTGTAGTCTGGGAGCGATGGGCTATAACATACTGCCTACGGTGTAGTAGGCTATACCATCTAGGTTTGTGCACTCTATAATGTTTGTACAATGACAAAATTGCCCAACAACACACCTCAGAATATATCTCTGCCATTAAGCAGCACATGACTGTACATTCTTCTAGTTTACTAAATGCTGGAAAAATATAGAATTATTCTTTTTGTCCTTCTAGTTAACATGTCATGATGTATGTTTCAATGTCATAAAAATCCTAAGCTTTACGGTTTTAGGCTCTCCTACCACCAGCACTTCTAGTAAGATTATTTCAAGATTAGCAAAACAAAAACAAAACAAAATGATTAACCTTCAATGTTCACCAACCTTAGTCATTAAGGCATGCAATCAAAACCACAATGAGCAAAAACCAAGATGGCAGCATAAGGTATACAGCTGTATGTGCTGCCTCTCACAACCACACCAAATTTACAACTAAAAGACAAAATGTCTATCACCCAGAACCACGGGAAAGCTGGCTGAGTAGCAGTTCTATAACTAGAAGGAAAGAGAAAAGAGCACTGAGACTGGGTAGGACATGCACAGGTGTGGAAAAGCAGAGGTAAGGAGGCACGTGAATCATGCTGGCGACTGGGTGCACTGTTGTTGTTTTTTTTCAATCAGAATGGAGACACAAACTCCCAACTGCTCTGAACTCCAGTTTCTGGCGAGACTCTGGGGACTCACACTCCAACAGGGAGAAGCGGGACTGTCTGTCATCAGGTGGGGAAGTGAGGGTAGCTCTCTTGCAGAAGTGCACACAGGGATCATTGTTTACTGAGCTGGGGCGTGGGATGCATGGACGCAGAAACTCGAAAATGTAGAGGGCTGACTGGCAGCCATCGCTGTTTGCCACCCCCTAGTGATTCCCTGGGACTCCGTCCAATTTACAAACCCACCCAAACTGTACGAAGAGGCTTTTGCATATGAACAGCCTGCTCTATCGCAGCTTAACCTAACAAACTGCAGCTGGGTCAGCTCCAAAACTTCCAAACTCCAAGCAAAAAGTAGAAATCTGCAGATCTCACTGTAGCCCTTGCTGGTTGGCCTCAGACAGTAGCTGACCTGCACCTCCTTGGAGATCCAGGAGCCAGTCAGTGTGAGACAACACCAGATTTCAACTCCTCACATCCATAAGTAACACACTCACGAGGCAGATTCAGTGAGCACCAAAGCCTCACTGAAGAAAGTCCTACCCCATAAGGTATCTCCAGCACAGCAGTTCTTCCATTTTAGACACAGTGGGTCTTCACAGCCAAATGGCCTGGAGGTCAATTCTTCCCAGTGTACCAACAGCAATCAAGGCTTAACTACAAGACTGTGCACTCAGCCCATAAAGGAGTGCACCAAGAGTTCCAAGTCATGTGATTGGAGAGGCTGAACCACTGGGTCTTATACACAAAGCCACTCCATCAATACAGGGAAGCAGCCAAAATGCAGAGACAAAGAAATATGTCATGAATGAAAGAAATAGAGGAAAGCAAACTATTGGATAGAGTTCAAAACCATAATTATAAGGTTACTCAAGAATCTTCTAGAAATCACCGAGGAACTTAGTGAGACCTTTAAGGATCTTAATGAGAATGCCAAAAAAAGGAAAAGGATGGGTCAGAAATTAAGCATTCATTGTCTGAAATAAAGAATATACAGAAACTCAACAGTAGACCAAAGGACCACAAGAATCAAACCAAAGATTTGAAATATGAGGAAGCAAAAAACACCCAACCAGAAAAACAAAAAGAATAAAAAAAATATGAAGACAGTGTAAGGAGCCTCTGGGACAACTTCAAGCATACCAACATCTGAATTATGGGGGTGCCAGAAGAATAGAGAGAGCAAGATATTGAAAACCTATTAGAAGAAATAATGACAGAAAAATTTCCCTACCTGGTGAAAGAAATAGACTTACAAGTCCAGGAAGCGCAGAGAACCCCAAACAATAGGAATCCAAAGAGGACTACACCAAGACACATCATAATTAAAATGCCAAGGGCAAAAGACAGAGAATCTTGAAAGCAGCAAGAGAAAAACAGTTAGTTACTTACAAGAAGCACCCATTGTCAGCTGATTTCTCAACAGAAACTATGCAGGCCAGAAGGGAGTGGAAAGAAATATTCAAAGTGATGAACAGAAAGAACCTTCAACCAAGATTACTCTACCCAGAAAATTGAAGGTCAGGTAAAGAGCTTCTACTCTTTATTACTATTATATATAACTTAGCAATTCCACTCCTAGGTATGTATCCAAAAGAATAGAAAACATATGTCCATATAACAACTAGTACATAAATGTTCATAGCAGCATTAAGAGAAAATTGAAGGTCAGATAAGGAGTTCATCACCACCAAACCAGGATTATATGAAATGCTAAAGGATATTCTTTAAGAAGAGGGAGAAGAAGAAAAAGGAAAAGATAAAAATTTTGAACAACAAAGTGACAACAAATACATATCTATCAACAAGTGAATCTAAAAATTAAGTGAATAAAAAATCGAACAGAATAAACTGGTGAATATAATAGAATCAGGGGCATAGAAAGGGAATGGACTGACAATTCTTGAAGGGAAGAGGGTGTGAGGGGTGTGGGAAGAGATTGGACAAAAATCTTACACCTATGGATGACGACAGTGGCGGGGGGTAAGAGCATGGGGTGGTGGGGAATCAAGTGGAGGGGAGCTATGGGCTGGGGAGGGGAAGGAGGGAGGCAGAGGAACAATTGTAATATTCTGAACAATAAAGATTTATTTAAAAAAAAATAAACCACAATGAGATAACATGCCACATCCACTAGGATAGCTAAAATTAAAGACGATAGCCAGCCAAGGTAGCTCAGTTGGTTGAGTGTGTGCACTGAAAGAAAAGGTTTGCTGTTGGTCCCAGATCAGGGCACACACCTGGGCTGTGGGTTTAGGGCACATACAGAAGGCAACTCATTGATGTTTCTTTCTCTCTTGCCATTCCTTTCTAAACATGTCCTCATGTGAATATTAAAAAAAAAAAAAAAAAAAAAAAAAGACAGCCTAGTGGGCGTGACTCAGTGGTTCAGCTTTAGCCTATAAAGCAGAAGGTCATGGTTCGATTCTGGTCAGGGCACATGTCCAGTTGTGGGCTCGATCCACAGTGTGTGGCTTGCAGGAGGCAGCAGATAAATGATTTTCTCACATCAATGATGTTTCTCTCTCTTTCTCCCTCTCCCTTCTTCTTTAAAATCAAGATTTAAAATATATATATGTATATGTGTGTGTGTGTATATATATATATATATATATATATACATATATATACACACACACACACACACACACACACACACTTTTTAAAAAAATATATTTTATTTATTTTTTACAGAGGAAGAGAGAGGGATAGAGTTAGAAACATCGAAGAGAGAGAATCATCGATCAACTGCTTCTTGCACACCCCCTACTGGGGATGTGCCCGCAACCAAGGTACATGCCCTTGATTGGAATCGAATCTGGGACCTTTCAGTCTGCAGGCCGATGCTCTATCCACTAGGCCAAACCAGTTTCGGCTATATATATATTTTTAAAGTTAAACATAGAATTACTATATAACCTAGCAATTCCACTCCTAGGTATGTATCCAAAAGAACAGAAAACATATGTCCATATAACAACTAGTACATAAATGTTCATAGCAGCATTATTCATAAGGGCCAAAAGGAGAAAACATAAATGTCCATCAACTGATGAATCAATAAGCAACATATGATATTATCCATACAATGGGATATTATCTGTCATAAAAATGAAGTACTATGTGTTAGGACATAGATGACCCTCAAAAACATTATGCTAAGCCAAAGAAGCCAGACACAAGAGTCACATTGTATGATTCCATTTATATTAAATGTTAAGCATACACAAATATACACACACAGAAAGCAGATTAGTGGTTACGAGGGCCAGAGGACAAGATTAACTCTTTGAGAACAGTATAAAACTTTACTTTCTTATAAGGAAGGAAATTCAAGTTGGTTTCTAAAAAAGGAGAGCCTCTCCTTTCTAAAAAAGGAGAGCCTATAATGAGAGGGCAGGGATGGCCTGCAAAAAAGAGGCAAGAAATTAGGAGAACAGGAGCCAGGCCATGGGACATGTACTCACAGCTTCTCTAGCATCTTGAGTTTACTCTGTACTTGAGAGGCTCTGTTGGCATTGTAGCGAAACCGGTCAATGAAAACCTGCGGGTGGATGAGTGCAGGCACTGGTCAGGCTCCCTTACTCCCTGCAACTCTAATACCCATGGGATGGGGCCCTCAGCCCTGCCGGCTCCGTCACCTGGATATGCTGGCGATACTGCTGCTGTGCCTCATATTCACGCTGCTGGTTGAGTAGTCGCTCCTGTTTGGTTTTGATAAAGGTCTCAAAGTCTCCCCGGTAACCATCTAGCCGCTGGCTGTGCAGGTGGATGATGTCTGTGGCTATGGCATTCAGGAAGTTTCGATCGTGGGAGACAACCAGAATTGTGGAGGGCCATGTCTGAGGGGTCACAGGACAGCAGGCCCAGTTTGGGAGGGCAGTCAGCTCCCCAGCCTCCAGGTGTTTTGGAGGCAGACTTCCCCCAAACTTACTCCAGCACTCACCTGCAGGTAATTCTCCAGCCACAGTATGGCCCTTACATCCAGCATGTTTGTGGGTTCTGGAAAATGCACACATTTGGGATTGAAGGGCTGGAGGTGTAAGGAACTTGAGTGTTGCCACCTTTCCCCACCTGAAGTTGGAGTGTCACATTTCAAACTTACCATCTAACAGCAGCAGATCTGGCCTATGGACAAGAAGAATGCAAGGCTTGAGGTCAGAAATCCATTGCAAACTCCTAAGTGCCAAGGCCCATCCTCCATAAAATCCATACACAGGCCCAGAAGACTCACCTAGCAAACAGGGCCCGGGCCAGAGCCAGTCTCATCCTCCAGCCACCTGAGAACTCCCTAAAGAAAGACAGAGCTGCATGAGAGGTGGGTGCTCACCAGCACAGGGCAAGAGCCAACAGTAACCACAGTCAAGAATGGCAAGGGCCACTCACCGGGTGGGCTGCTGCTGCATTTTAGGGGTAAAGCCAAGTCCAGCAAGAATGACTGATGCCCTAGAAGTGAAGAACCCAGTTGGAACAGGTAACAGAAGGGAAAGGTGAAATGTGAAGAAAGGGGGAATTTCAAATACCTGGCAGGTGCCTTGTCAGCCTCAATCTCCTCCAATTTGGCATATATTTCTGCCAGCTGTGCAGCTTCTGAACCCTCAGCCCTGGGATGGAAATGGGGGGCAGAGCAATCAGCTTGAGTAGGGACAGTTCGAGAGGATATCCCGTACCCCATGCTGTTGGAAAGCAGACCACTGGCTGGCTGCCTTTTTGCTGGAACAAGAACAGAGTACAGGAAGGACTTGCTCACAGTATTGAGGGCCTTGGGCACAACAAGGGCTTGGGAGTGCTGGTTCTAAGCTCTCCTGCTCACTGGGATGGGCATGCCAATTTTGGATCATGACAGAGTGGCAGGCACTCTGTGAAGGACAGCTGCTGCTGTCCTTCCCTAGCACGGAGCCTTCACCTGCCAGCAGCAACCTGGGCACTGAGCTCCCGCTCTCGCTGCAGAAGGTCTTCTCGCACAGTGTCACTCTCCAGCACACTCTGCAGGGCAGGGGTGTCATCTCCAGCAACTTCCTGCTCTACGTGCAGCAGGGAAATGTGGGAGGGAACTCGCAGGCTCCGGGTGGCCAGCATCTTCAACAGTGTTGTCTTCCCCAGCCCATTTCGGCCCACTAGCCCATAGCGGCGGCCCCACGCCAGGTTCACATCTGCACCGGCCAGCAGTACCCTGCGGGGCAGCAGGAAGACGACAAAGGGTACTCTAGACATTGGTGTACTGCGACTTTAACAACAGAAACCTAACATTACTTTTAACCCCATCGAATCTCCCCAAATTCTCTTTAATTGGAAAAAGAAAAGTATCACACCCCCCACTGCCACTCCCTCACCTATCGCCAAAGGACACGTCAAAGTTCTCAATTCGCACATCGTAGGATTTGTTCTTGCCAGATGATTCCAACCGACTCTCCTTTCTGCTGCCTGCTTGGCTGGCTGATGCCTCTTCCAAGACTCTGTTAAAAGAATAAATGGATGGCTTTTGGCACTCCCAACCACACTTTCGTCCCAGTAGAGACTGCTCTTTTCTCTTAACCCTTTTTGCTAAACTCACAGAGGATTGCTGGTCTTGAGTGTGTCCTTCTCTGAACGTTTCTCCTGCTTTGCCTTTAGCCGAGCCTCAGCCTTCTCCAGCTTCTTTGCATTCACTGTCTAAGGGTCCAAACAAAACCGTTTCACCCTAGGGTGTAGGCTCAGAGAGAGCACCTTAAATTAACCCTCCCAATTTATCCGCGATGAACAGAATTAAAGATTCAGAAATCCCCCAGGAAGATATTCCAGTATTTAGAAACAGTCAACTCCTCCCCAACCATACACAGCCTCTCCCTTTCATCCTCCTCCTCCTCCTCACCGAGGACTGTTCCCTCTTCAGCAGTCCTGGAAGGTTGGTGCCACAGTCTGTAGATGAGAAGAAAAGCAGTCACCTTCTCCCTGAGGGAAGGGAAACTAATATTTTGAGTAACTAATATAAACTAGACACAAAGCTGATAAGCAAGTCCAACAAGAGCATGCAGTTGGTTAGTAAGTCACAAAACAAGGGGTGGGGAGTGGGTGAACCCAAGTTTGTCCAGCTCCAAAGCCCATATGCTTCATACCATTGCCAAGAGCTTGGGGAGAACCCTCCAACCCTACTCCCTTCATCAATGGGCTCTTTTGCCTTCAGTAAAGACATCAACTAGCTTCTACAATCTTGTCCTATGGAAAAGAGGTGCCAGGAGTTCTGAGCTCCAGGAGGCAGGTGGCTGGGGCCTTGAGGCTGAGGAAAAGGAGAGGGCAGCGAGTTCAATATTCCCTCCTTTCTCACCGTAGTTCTCCGTCATCTTTGACAACTGGATGGGGGCGTCCAGCAGCACCTGGCTGTTTCCCTGGCTCTGTGGCTCGGCCCTACACGGCAGGGACGGCAAGCGCAGTTAGGGGTTTGAGGAGAAAGCTCTTTGCCATCAGACCTTATTCCCTCCTGCCCCCCGACCGTCCCCTTTCCATCTCCCCACAAGCCCCCCCGGCCACGTACAGGCGTAGGGTGTTGTACATGCGCTGACACACGGCTCTGATGCCCGCGTCATCCTTGCTGTCCCCGGACACCTCTTGCAACAGTTCCCCCACAGCCTCCACCAGGTCGTCCACAGACTCGAAGTCCGCGCTGCCGCTGTGCAAGACGCCTGGGCGGGGCGGGGCAGGTCGAGGCACACACGGGGTAGGGTGGACACACAAGGAGTTTAACCCCGGAACCGCGACCCGAGAGCCTGGCCTCCGGACCTGTCCCGCCCTCGGGACAAGAGGTCACACAGAGGCCAGACCCAGCCGCGGCCCCGGCCCTGCCCTCCCTTAGCCTTTCCCACCCGACTTCCACTTTGGCCCCCCCAGCACGCTGATTCGGTTGGGCTCACCGGTTACGTAGTCGAAGACCTGTCCGTCAATTTCGGGAAACTCGCTCCGCAGGATTTCAGCGCAAGTCGCCATGTTACAGCCCGGCTCCCTTCCGCGCAGCCGCGGTGAGACCCCGGCCGAGGCCCACCCCTGCCCTTCCCCCGAAAGACCGTCCCTCCTCTCACGGCGCATGCGCAGTGGTGACCTAAGTAACGCGTGGATTGCGCGGAACCCGGTGGGCGGGGCCGAAAGACGCGTGCGCGAGCACCGGTCTCTACGCCAGAGCTCTCTGCGCTTGCGCAACGCCTTTTCCACTCGTGCGGCCTCGCGGCCTTCTGGGAGGTGGCTTCCGGAAGGCGGAGAACTCGAATGCCAAAGGTTCGGCGGGTGGGGGCCGCCGGAAGACCCGCGGTGGGTGAAGCGCTTCATATTGGACTTGCTAGTCTAAACGCCTGAGCCAGGCTGACTCACGCTGGTTCCTGAGCTTTCAGACTCTGCTCTAACCCTTTTTGCTAAATTCTCAGAGTTCTGTGCAGCCGCGGTTATTATGTTTCCCAACCTTTATGGGCTGTTGGTCTCAGCCTGGAAGTTCGCCTGCTCTGCTCGAGTCTGGCAGCGCAATTCAAGTTATGCCTATCCCACCACCCCAGGGCACAGCCTCACTCTGCCAAAGGGCAAGGAAACCAGGTGGAGAAAACCAGATGGACAACACGGCCTGTGTGAATTCATTGGTATGTGTTCTCTAAGTCTACCTAAACCCAAAGCAGACTTCTCTGCAGCCTGAATGTACTTCCTTTCCCGGATTCTCTCAGAAATTAATGATGCTACTGCATTACGTTTACTGTAAAATTTAATGTGAATACTCTTCCAATCCTGCTGTAAAATTGTCACCTAAAATTACATTATTAATTCATTCTTGTGAGGAATCAGTCAATCCTGATATTTAAAATAAAGCTATAGAAGCTATTAAGCTTCTAGATTTAATAACCACTTTATAGGAAACATTGGGAAATAGAAATTCTGAGGGGGAAACTATGTACTGTACAGAAATAGCTGGTTTCTTCAACATTGCAAGAGCCGAGGAGAACCTGTGGTTTATAAAATTTAAGAAGCATTCACCTACTATAATGGACCTTGTTTGGATCCAGATGCAAACTGTAAAAATTTGCCGAAGCCGTTTGGCTCTGGTAGAGCGTCGGTCTGCAGACTGAAAGGTCCCAGGTTCAATTCCGGTCAAGGACATGTACCGTGGTTGCAGGCACATCCCCAGTAGGGTGTGTGCAAGAGGCAGCTGGTCGATGTTTCTATCTCTCTCCCTTCCTCTCTGTAAAATATCAATAAAATATATTTTAAAAAATTTTTATAGGACACCTGAATTAAGTATGAACACAGATTGGACCTGATAACAATGAATGGGCCATAAGTTAATAATTGTTGAAATTGGATGATGGGACATGAGCGTTCATTATATTTTGCTACTTGTTTTTTTGAAACTTTTAGATTTTTTAGGTTCAAAAAGGCTGAAACCAAGCAGGAAAAACTGGTGGAAGGCGAATCTGCTCCTTTATCTGCCTAAAGCTAGGAGTAAATTAGAGAAAGAATCTCTACCCTCAGGGAACTGGGGCCGGGTGGGGCTGCTGGCCCTAGGAAACTGTTTTCTTTTCAGAGGAGTCAGGAGACCTGGGGTGAACACAAATTAGGATTAGGGACTGGGTGGCCTTGGAGGGGCCTAACAATTGAGACTAAGACAAGGGAAGAAGCCTTGAAAGGTCAAAACCGAAAATTGTACTCAAAGCAGTCAGTGTAAGACATGGGAAGAGCAGTCCCACCAGTCCCCATCCCCCCTGCATCAACACAGCCAGCTCCTTCACTCTACAGTTTATTGGGTCTATAACTGGACAAAGTCACACGTGTACAAAATGAAGCTCACACTATCCCAAAGCAGAACAGGGATTGAGGGCTAGGGATCCATTACTAGCTGTTGGGGGAGCTCTGAGGTGAAGGGCAACCAACCCTCCCACTTGAGAGATGTGGCCACAGGGGAGGGGAGGAGAAGCCCACCTGACTTTGGTCACAGAACTCATTGAGCCTGGCAATGGGCCAGGACAGACAGACGGATGGAGAAGCAGGAGCCCCGGAGACACCTTGCCCAGGGAGCCCAGGGACAGCTCCACCAGTCCTACTTGCGATGTGGTTGGTCCAGACCTAGACTCAGGGGCTGGTGCAAAGGAAAGGCAGCAAAGCAGGAGGGAGGAGACACTGATGTGTGGTGGCTGGGGCACTTGGACTTGTGGAAGAGGGTGGATGGGTGGGGAGGTGGGCTAGCTGCCACTAGGCAGCTAGCAGCGTGTCTCATAAATGCCACTTCGGCCAATGTAGCGCACCCATTTGATGACATCATGGTCGCTGTAGTTCAGCTTCGGTTCAAACACCTTCAAGTAGCGCACCTTGAGGCCAGAGGGTGCGAATGGCACCTGGGCAAGGGGACAGCTCCAGTTAGGAAAGTGGCCTTCCAGTCAATCTCTCTCTTCTGGGAAGTTCTGTAGCTCTGCCCTACCTTTATCTCTTTACTACAGGTGATTAAATGATTAGTGTCCTGAAAGAAGTTGGGGTAGTGAGGGGGTCCTCCTAAAGGTTACTAAAGAATAAAGCATATCTAAGAGTAATAAAGCATATCTAAGAGTAATCATCTGGGTTTGAAGTTGGCCCTGCCTGTGATAACCTGAATAAATTCTTTTAATCTGCAGAAAGCAGCAACCAAAGATCTGACTTAGAACATCTCAATATTAGGGACTTAAAAAATAAGGTGGAGAAAATTGTATGTCTAACATAATTTGCACAAAGCAAGGTCAGCTCGTTTTCCTGTTTGTTAAGTAAACTTTGTGTCTTATTTGGCATTCCAGCAATCTAAAGCTTTCTAAAGAATTATTTTACAATAAGCCAAAAGAAGGTAAAGATTTTGGTTAGTGTGAATAGCAATTTCTAGTTGGAAGCCTGAAAGGGGAAGAAATGGATCTGTGAATTAAAGTCACTTCCCTTCTCAAGGCCCCAGTTTGCTCATCGAAGGAAGTAGGTATAGAGGTTGACCTGAATGACTTCCAAGATCTTTCCCAGCATACCCTGCTATGGCTCTAGGCCCCTCTCCCGCCATACCTCAAAGTTCATGGAAATGGGGGGTCGAGCCCACTTCTTCTTGTCATTTGTGGGCAGCAGCTCAATCTCTGCACTGATCTGCGATTCCTTCATGCCTGCCATGCGCTTGATCCTAGGAACACAGGAGCGAGCAATGGGCAGCAAGTGCCACTGGAAGCTTGGAGAAATTTCGAAGGGGGTGGGGAAGAAAGAACCCAGGAGCTTGTGGGAGGTGCTAGGACAAGAAAATTGATTACCACTTGCTATGGAACTTGGGTCTGCTATTTCTTTAGCACTGTGGGCTGCAGTTTCTGCTGAGATAGATGGTCGTGCCATCCCTTACTGTTTACTTCACAGACATAGGAAAATGTTAAAGCATCCTGATAAATAAATGTAGGCATGCACCCAAGTGCAAACAGGTGGCACACTCACATAGGTATAGGTTGAGAGCAAACAGAAGCTCCTGGAGAAGCAAATAGGCAGTCCAACTCCCTCCCCCACAAAAAACACATACACACTCAGAGGACGAACAGTAAAACTGAGTAAGAGGGTACACTGAGGCTTCTTAAGCCCTGTTGTGGCCTCATGAAAGAAAGACTCACTTCCACACGATGGCGTTCTCACTGGCCTTGTACTTGGCCTTTCCCTTCATGCAGATCACCTGCACCCCACTTGTGTTTAGTGGGGTTGGGATCCTCACCTAGAAGTAACACACCTGTCAGGAAGCTCTGTCCAGCCCTGACATCAGCTGCCTTCATTCCTGAAGACAAGTGCTTCTTCCTCCCCAAGTCCCTGTCCTCACCTCAATCTTCTGAGCCAGTAGGGAGGGCTTGAAGTTGGACTTGATGACCACCTTGACCTCAAGCTTGGTGCGCCCCACTTCCCGCACCAGTGGGATCACCCGGAAAGGAAGGATGATGTCCTTGGTGGTGCGGTACCTTTAGAAGTAGAGAGCAAGGTTGGCATAGCAGAGTCTGTCCTCTTCCCTCTCCCCATTTTTCGCCCTTGCCTCCTCATATCCCAGCGGCACCTCATGAGCTCAAACTCTCCATCTGGTGGGATGAAGCTGATGCTGCGTTCAGAGTCAAACTTGCTGAGTCGCACACACTGGTGGAAGGTGCAGTCATCGATGGCAATTGATTGCTTCCCGCTGCAAAAAGGGGCTCAGTGTCATCGGTACAGGAGTGTGGCAGGAGAGATTTAGGCTGGGAGGCTACCCCACCCACAAAGGCTGTCAGAGCCAGGTGAGGTTCCCACTATACACTATCAAAAGCTATCAGGAATAGCTTTTGATAGTGTAATACATTCAACAATAAAGATTAAAAAAAAAAAAAAAAGCTGTCAGAATACAGCTTTCTGATTTAAGGATCCCTGCCCCAGAATTAGGGATCAGTGGAAGCTTTGCAAGCTCATCATCTCTTGAGAGCTCTGCTGGTTAGGACCTAGAGGTTTCAGGTACACTGGGCAGAGGCCAGCAGTATATACAGAAAAGCCTTGCTTCTGGGGACCAAATAAAGGGGCTTACTCTCTGAGTAGGATGAGGGCAATCCCCCCTTCTCTCTTAAGCACAGATGTCAAGAGCAATTAGCCAAGTACATCCTTGGGAAGAGGGAGTTTGTATTATTGCAGAAATGATGTCCAGAAAGAATTTGTGATTTACCAGGCCCCCTCAACCCTCCAATTGCCACCCTCTCCCACCAGCTCCCCTGCCTCAGGCACCTCTTGCTTGTTTCATCAGCTGTGCCTTTGCCCTGCTTCTCAATTACAATCTTGTCATTCATCCCAAACTTGCACTCAGGCATGCCACTCAGGTAGCTCTTCATCACCACCCGCCCTGATACATGGGCGCTCAGCACCTGCCCTGGTGATGGACAGACAAATGGAAAAGCTGAGTCAGGACAAGGACCTTACCCCGCCCCCCACAACCTTTATCATGAGAGGCTCTCACCCTGTGGGGACATGAGCAGGTTCACACTTTCCAGCACATCCAGGAAGAGCTCGTTCCGGCGATACTTGATGCCCTCCCGCCGCCAGCCAATCTGCCCAGTCACCTGGCTGGTGATCTGGGATTGTTCCTCTTTTGTCTACATGGAAATAGAGACAAAGAGCAATGGCCTCACTCCTCTCCACTGTCAATCATCCTGTCTCTATCCTCATCCCACTCCATCCTCAGCCCTCTTTCCTTCTAGGCCCCGCCCTGAAACCCATCTTCCCCAGAGGCCCAGTGGGGCAGGACCTGAAGAAAGGGAGCGAAGCTGCAAGGGTAGGAGTTGAGGGAATACCTTACCTGATGCTGGAAGCCACAGGGTCAATGTGGAGCCCACAGGAAGCCGTAGGGGAGCGCAGATGGGGAGAGACAGGCAGAAAAGAAGGCTATGAGGCCTGGATCCCAGAGGAGGATCCGAACTCTCTCCTCCTGAGGAACCAAGGCCTCCAGAGCAACCCCCATTCTTCCTTCCCCCGGTGCAGAAGGAAACTGCTTGATCTGTATTCCCGGTAACAGAGATGCTGAGTCAGTTGCATCTCGGTTGGGAGGGCCACATGGGAAAATAAGCCTGCAGTCACGGCAGAAAGATCAGAGCAGCACTTCCTGTTGGAGGCAGCTTCATGAGTCAGCTAGGACACGGCTCAGGGGCCAGCTGGGGCGAAGGGGTTGGCCTCCACCCGGACTGTGGCTGTATAATTCCAATACCTGGCTCTTGATGCCCTGCTGGGTAATGAAGGTTTTCAGTGCGCCTGTCTCTGAGTTCTGTGGATAGCCAAAGTCCAGGATCTCTGCAAAAGGAAGGGAACCATCAGATCCTGGAGAAAGCTGAAGGTGCCTTCACTCCTGTCCCTTCCTTGGCCTAGACATGTCTGGCCAGCACAGCCCCAGAAGAGTGTGGGATCACCTATAGTAGCCTTATAACTTTGTAGTATTAATCTGGGATTTATGCTTTGTAAGAAAATGTCAGATTTTGCCCTGGCTGGTGTGGCTCAGTTGGTAGAGCATCATCCTGTGCACCAAAAGGTCCCTGGTTCAATTCCTGGTCAGGGAACATGCCCAGGTTCTGGGCTCAGTCCCTGGGGTTGGGATGCATATGATAGGCTACCAATCAATGTTTCTTTCTCACATTTATGTTTCTCTCTCTCTCCTCCCTTCCTCTCTGTAAAATGTCAGATTTTATCAAATGGAGAAAATCAGTAGAAGCGTCATGTGGTCAGTGGGTGAGAGGTCAAGAAGCACTGAGCCTTAGAAAGCTCTGTTCACTTAAATCATACCCTACAGAGGAGCCAAGGTAACAATGTAATGCACTTGAGGGGCCTATAATACCTCACCCTCCTCCAGGCTCTGAGGCACGTGTTGAAATGGAAAGCTAAGAGGACAGTCATGAACTAAGGCCCAAACCACAAAGGTAAGAGGGAAAAAGTGCTTACTGCAGGAGTCCCAGCCACCAAATCCCAGACAGGTTCTCAGCCGAAAGGCCTCCTCTACTCACTAGCGCCTATTTCTGTATTCTACTTCAGAGCACACTTTAGGTCTGGATTTGACTAGCCTTCTCGGGGCTCAAAAGACCACATAGTCAGGAAAGGAAGTTCAGAAAGCACTGGAACTTCAGACCTGCTCCTATCTCGAGGCCAGACCCCATCAGGTTCACCCCCACCCTAAGCCCACCACTGTGGCCGTCTCACCATCCAGCAGCTCATATATGAGCACAAAATTGTTCTTGATGTTCTCCTCGCTGATCTTGCCAAAGTAGGCAGCCATTACGTCACACATCTTATAGAGGAATTCGAAGACCATGGCAGCATTGACATTCTGCTTGGTGACAGCTGCCAGCCAGATGTTAGACCGCTTAACATGGAAGAAGCTGGTGCGAGCGATGTTGGTGACGGGGCTGCGCACCTGTTGCCGAGCATGAATAACATTGACCCGAAAAGCATCCACCGCGTTCCTCCTGAGGAAAAAGGGTAGACGGGCTGCTCAGCACTCAGGCAAGCCTCACTCTGCAGGGATCAATCACAGCTACTAACATCATCCCCACTTCCCTGCTGAATTCTGACACATACTCTAAAGTGCCATGTTAGGAAGACAGGTGTAACCTGAATAAAGTGAGGTCCATCAAGTTCAGGGATGCCTCCAACTTCCCTGCTGCCACTGCTCTAGCTTCTCGGTGAGCTCCAGGCCCACATGAGAAAAGAGCCAGTCTTCCCACTAGTAAGCCCACCAGTGGGGAAGGCTGGCATCCCAACAAGTTAGACAAAGCCAGCATGACTTCAGAGAAGGCTCTGCTCTACTGAGGGAGAAGCACCGAGGAGCTGGGGAGCTGGGCCACCCATTTCTGTCTGGGATCCAATTCCAGGGCAAGCTCAGGGAATGAAAAAGGATGAAGAAAACAAGAATGGGGGGCAGGACACCCCACCCTCCAGTACCTGGGCGGCAGCTTAACAGGCTGCTTACCTATTGCTACAGCAGCCAATGAGATGGGATGAGAGAAATGACGCCAGCAAGAAGAGGAGAGTGACAGCAACGAGAGAGAGGGTTAGACACACAACACACTGGGGTAGGCAGCACACACCATGAGGTAAAAACAGACAAGTAACAGGCAAGGGGTGGAGAGCGCAACAAGGCATGCAAGATGTGTACATCCTGGCCTTGGCTTAACCAGGTCCATGCAGGGCCAGAGCAGGGTGTGGATGGTGTAGCCAGCAGGCTCAGGCAATCCAGGTATTGCCACATCTTTAGCTCATGCCCCACCACCAACCAATGGAAAAATAGACACAAAGGCCACACCAGTCCATCAGTCTGGGAGCCAAAAGCCAACGAGCTAGGGCACTGCAGCTAGCCCATTCTTTGACGGTCTATCCAAGATCTTTGAGGAAGAAAAACAGGGCCTAAGAAAAACAAACCAGAGGAGCCTAACCTCATTAGAGCTGCTCACTCAGGAAAGAACAGTAGCGTGCAGGATGGGGCAGAATGAGAAGTAAGGCTGTGCCCACTTGTTAAAGTCTGCAGGACCCAGAACAAGAAGCCATTCTGGGTCTACTCTGATAGGCCAGAAAGGGCAGCATGGCCTCCCTGTCCTCTGCCTTTCCTTCAGTGACCCAGGGAGGGCCTCAGTGCTCACACTCTCTCCTCCAAGAATGGTCAAGAGGAACTGAAAACAGCTAAGTCAGCAGCCTGCCTCTTTCTGAGAAAGGGAGTGGAAGAGGATTTGGCAGCCGGGAGAGGCTTTCAAAAGAATCCAGTGAAGACTCGCATCATGAGAAGGGCTTTTGAAGGCAAGGCTTAGATGGATTAGTACCTCCAGCCTGGCCACTAACTCCACCCAGAAGACACGTCTCCCTCCTCCTCAAAGGAGGAATCAACCAGCCCAGGCAAAAGCACTCATCCCAGCAACCAGGTCTGTCACTAAGGGAAACAGGAGGCAGTAAAGGCAGAATTCCACCGGTCCCACCTGGGGGCCAGCAGCTGGGAGCCAGGCTGTACATGCTTAGCTTCCATGATGCAGCAGGGGGTGGCGGTGGGGTGGGAGTGGTCCAAGTCAAGTGACTGATAGGAACAGACCTGATCCTGCATGCTGGGGAGGAGGGATGGAAGGTGGGGCGCAGCTGGTTCAGCCAGGGGACTCACCCGATGTCATCTCGGTAGACCCGGGAGATGAGCACCTCCCCCTTGTGATTATAGATGAATAAGCCTCCAATCATGGCGGCAGCTCAGTCTCCACAGCCCATCGCTCTGAGAACAGACCTAGGACAGGCAGAGGCAGGGTAAGGGAAGGCCTCAGAACCCTTGCCCATATCCACTGTGGGGCTGTGCAGGTCACAATGTGCTTTTTTTCCCTGACTCAACCCTCCAGCAAGTGACCCTGCAGCCCTTTGCAGGCATGCTCCTCCCCTTAGCCAGGCTCCAGTTCCTGTTTATCCCACATTGGTCGGGAGAAAGAAATGGTGAGGGACTTGGGCCCAGAATACTAAGGCCATTTTGATCCTCCCTTTTCTGGGGCTGAGCCCAGAGAGTAGCCCCTCCCCCTCTTCACAGAACTGAGCTCAGCCAGAATCCTTTTCCGCCCTTTCCTGTGCAGACTCTCACCAGGGAGTCCAAGGGAAGATCTGCCTGTGACTGCAGGAATGGTGGCAGGAATTACTCCCCTGGGTTCAGGCCTGGGGCTCAGAGAGCACCAAGTCTTAGTCTCCACTACCCTTCTGAGAAGGGGCAGGGCCTGAATCTCAGGCTAATTCACTGAGGGCTAAACATTCCAGGAAAGGGTGTGCAGGGGGTGTGGGGGTGGGGAGGAAAGGAAGCCTTAGGCCCTGACTTAGATCCCCAAGTGTGGCTCCAACCTCCTCCAGGCAGTCAGATAAGCAGGCAAAAGAGCAGAGTAGAAAGGTCCCAGCCCTGACAGACTACACTTATACGACCCAAGCTGCTTAGTAGTTATTTTTGGCAACCACCTCTCCTTTCAAAAAGGGAGGCTCCCACCGAAACCGGTTTGGCTCAGTGGTAGAGCGTCGGCCTGCAGACTGAAGGGTCCCAGGTTCGATTCCGGTCAAGGGCATGTACATTGGTTGCGGGCACATCCCCGGTGGGGGGTGTGCAGGAGGCAGCTGGTCGAGGTTTCTCTCTCATGGATGTTTCTAGCTCTCTATCTATCTCTTTCCCTTCCTCCTCTCTGTAAAATATCAATAAAAATATATATATATTTTTTAAAAAAAGGGAGGCTCCCTCTCAGCTCCCCAGTACAATAAAAAATAAGGGCGGGGGGGGGGGGGGGGGGGAGGCAGGATGCAGGTACATAAAGTTAAATAGGCCTGGGTGCCGCCTGCCTGTGAGGGGCAGGATGCCCCAACTATCCAAATTATCTGGGTCAAACTAATGTAGGCTGTTTGCAAGGGCAAAAAGGGTTAGTTTAGTTCTAGATTTCCTGGATTAGCCCTGGTATTAATTTCACAGGGGGGGGGGGGTCATTTGGCAAGACTTTTCTTGAAAACTGTCCAGTAAACCCTATTCCTATGGCCACCAGGGTCTCCCAGACTCAGCGGGAGGTCGGTCTCCGAAGGTGCTGGGCACAACCCATGCCTCAGTCCCTAAGGGTCCAGGGGAGAGAGAGAGAGGAAAGGCAAGATGGAGGTAGAGCCTGGGCCAGGAACCAAGTCCACAGGTATCCAGGCTTCGGGAGGGAGCTCGGGCCGCAGACAGGGACGGGTATTGACTTCAGCGGGAGACCTGGCGGCGGCGGCGGCGGCGGCGGCGGGCAGAATCCTCAGCCCTCCCGCCAGGTGAGCCCACAGCAGCGACGGGGCTGGTGGGGCGCCCAGGGCAAGAGTTCGAGGATGGCAAAGGTCAGGGCTTTGGAGAGGAACAACACGGCAGGGGGAGCCTGGCCGGAGGACGCCGGGGAGCCGGAGCCTGCTTTGGGGTTCAGGTGCGGAGGCAATGAGGGGGTGGATGGTGGGCTTCTGCCCCGGAAAGGAAGACATCGCGGGGAAAGATGGATCCGCGGGGTGCGGCGCCGCCACGGGCCTGAGGAATGAGAGCCCCAGGCTGTCACTCAGCGGGGAGGAGGGGGTGGGAGGCCGTCACCGTCCCAGGAGGCGGCCCGGGGGTGTCACTGTCGGAGGAGATGGTGAAGCAGCCCTGGCCCCGGGGGGAGGGGCAGGCGCCGCGGGGTAGGGGTGCTGTCACCGCCCCAGGGAGGGGGCGCCGCGCGGGGTGCCTGCCCTGGGAGGGTTCCAGGAGATCTCCCTCTCCAGGAAGGCGCCGGGCGGGTCAGGTGGAGGGCGCGCTCCCCGAGCCCGTCCTGCAACCGCGCCCCGGGCGACTCCACCCGCCGCCGTCAGCTCCTCTGGGACCTAAAAGGCTGAGGCCACTCCCGGGTGTGGGCAGCTTCCCGCCTACCCTGTGCGCGGGGAAGGGCAACGCTGCAGTTTGGGCAAGGCGTCCTCCTTCCTCCCGTGAGGCCTGAGCCCGAGCTCACCTGGTGTCCGCGGCCCGCTCTGCTCCGCCCGCCCGGCCACTCTCCGGATCCCAAGATGTCCGCCCGCCCCCTGCTCGCCTGCCCGCTGCCTCGGCTTTCACCGCAGTGCCGCGGCCCCGCCCCGGCCCCGGCCGCGCCTGCGCGTGCGCGTCCGGCTCCCGCACGGACTACAAATCCCGTCAGGCCCTCCGGCTTTCTCGCTTACAATGTTAAGCTCTCTAGATGTTGCAAAACTACAACTACCGACTGCCTTCGAGAACCTTCGAACGGGAGGGTAGGGGTTCCTTGGGGAGAGGGCTAGGAGTGGCCTTATCCAGCCATAGCCGAAAGGCACACCCCAGCCTATCCGATTCCGCTCACGACCTTTCTCCCCACCCCCTCCTTCCCACTGAGCATTTTGGGAATTGTAGTCTCTGGAGTCCCTTCAGTTCCTATTTCAATGTTTCGGAGAGTCTCAGAGGATTGCTACCATTAGAAGTCCGTCTGTTAAGTCTTGCATTGTTGCAGGCCTTTCGTGACTCCGGAGTCCGAGGACTGGCTGTCCTCACTTTCCATACAACACACCATTTGGCAGTAGAAGTGTTTGTGCTGAATTTACTGCTTTCTAACACCACCCCTGACTCTCCCAAATTTTAATTTTTCATTGTATATATTTGCCAGACATAAGCCTTTCTCCAGGGATCAAGACCCAAGGAAGGGAACAGGAAGTGAAGAGGCAAATACTCGGCAGAACCTAGATAAAGCTTTCCAAGACTATGTCCATGTTCCTACTTCATCTATACCTATGTTACTGTCAGTTCCTCAAGGCCAGAACATGTGTGTCTTCTAGTGAGAGGCAGATATGTTGTTTAGAAAACCACTGGTGAATTTAATTGGACATGGGATTTGAAATTCCCTCTATGAACAGAGTTAATCTTCACACCCAAGCTAAGACAGAGCCAACCCACAAACATGAAAGGCATGCCTGGCTCTTGCAGGACCTGAAGGAAATATGTTAGCTCTTCTCTTTGTATACAGAGATATCCTGATGCCTTCGCTAGTCAGGGTTGAGCCCATCATGGGAGAAAGGACAAAAAAGGGAGAACCTGGATGCAAGCCTTACTGTCCCTCGCATCCTCTTGTCAGAAGCCAAGATTTGGCCTCCTTCATTAAAACTGTGGTCATTGCCTGAAGCCATTAAGTGGCCAAATATAGGCACTTCTGATCCTTGAACCAGCACACAAGGCTTCACTCCTACCTTTCCCAAAGATTTATCTTCAATAAATACCCTAAATCCTTACCGATTTATAGCAAATAATCATAATAATATTATTAATAATAATAGCTACCATTTATTGAGCACCTATTCTACTGTGTGCCAGGCACTGTGCTAGGCACTTTTCGTACAATATCTAATTTAAATCCTCACAACAACCCTGTGAGGTAGGTATTATTATCGTCATTTTACGTATGAGGGAACTGAGGCTCAGAGAGATTAAATAATTCTCCTATCACACAACCAAAAAGTAGTAGAGCTGGGATTCAACCCAGAACAACTTGACTCCAGATCCCATGCTCCTGTGAACTAGAGCAGAGGCAGAGGGGAGAAGGGCTGAATTCAAGAAAAGATTGTTGGAGTAGAATGGATATGATCTGCTGAATAGTAAGATATGGGAAGGGATTTAAGTCCATAAATGTTTCTAGCTGGTGAGCCTATGCTGATTGTGAAAGCAACTAGGATTGGAATTCATGAAGTGGGGGAAATGCATGGAGTCCATACAGATATGTCCATGTAGATGTCCGGTGGATAATAAAAACACAGATCTAAAGATTGGAGGGAAATTGGGAATGGAGAGATATATTTGAAAATCCCCAGCATACCCAAGGCAGGTAAGGACCTCCTGATGGATGATACCAATGGGGAGTAAATAGGAAAGAGAAATGGATTGAAGACAGAAAACAAGGAGCACCAACAGTGAAGGTATGAGCAACAGTGGAAAATCCTCAAGAAGTTGGACATGGCAGAGTCAGAAAAAAAGAAGTATAGGAGCCAGTCTTCCTCCCAGGTGGCTAAAGGAAGCCATGGTCTATGTTGGGAGCAAACCAGAACTGTCAGAGTCAAATTTCTAACATAGCCCTTACTCACAAAAAACAAACCAGGAAGTTTTTAAATGAATGCCAAATGCCCCTTCCCTGGTTTGCCCCAAAGCCTGGTATTTAGTACTTCATCTCTTGACACCCCAGTTCTGAAAATATGGGAGCCCAAGTGAGCCAAAAGAATTTATAGAAGAGGCTTAACGTCATAATTTGTTAAAAGTAAAAAATAGGTTAACAATACAAACCTGGCACTCCCAGAAGCCTCCCTGCCCAATCATGCTCTGGGGTATCATGGTGGTGTGAAAACAGGAAAAAGTGTGCAATGCAGGGGGCAAGGCGAAAACAGCCTGTTTTTCTTGTCTGGGGAGTCCTCTGATGAGCCCCACATATGGGCTTTATCCTGGTAGGATGATGATAGGGACATGTGGGGGAGGCTTGAGGGCTATGAGGAAGGGGAGGAAGGATAGAGGTAAGTCAGGGGACCAGCCCCACAACCTGGGAGAAAATTGGGAAAGAGGCCAGCCCTCTGGACAGGGACCAGCCCTGAGGCTTAAGTGGCCTTGCATAGGCACCTGTGTGTGTGCATGTGTGTGAAAGGGAGAGAGAGCACGCACACTCTCTGGAAAGGCGAACAGTCTCTCATATTATATGGACCAAGGGCTGGAGCCCTCCCCAGAAGCCTAGTGACATGCTGAAGTGTGGGTGTGGGGCTGGATATCCTCGGTAAGCCCTGGGGGGCTGTTGAAGCAGGGTTCCTGGTTTCCTCGGAGGCTGGGCCTCCCCTCGCTGGGGGTTCACAGAAAGTCAAACAGCCCGAAATTCTTGGCTGCTCCAGGCCCAGGAAAAATTGGGGAGGAAAAAAGAAAGAGAAGAAATGTTTCAGGCCCAGAGGGGAGATGAGCCTGTTGGTTAGTAGGGTTAGGGGTCTGAAGGACACACAATTGCAGGCAAAGGGTGGGGGTAGAGCAGAGATGTTCCTTGGAAGCCACTAGCAGATCAGGCAGCGAAGGCCCCCATGGCTCCTGGTGAGGGCCCAGTGCAGGAAGGGAGAGCATGGGTACTTACTGAAGGTGACCCACACTCTAGGGTGCAAGCAGCAGGCAAGAGACAGTTAGGCAGCAGGCAGGGACAATTAGGAGGGGCAGATGAAGCAATTATTTTTTTGGTGTCAGCATTGCGTGCATGTGTGTGTGTGTGTGTGTGTGTGTGTGTGTGTGTTTGTGTGTGTATGTTGGGGGAGTTCAGAGATTGGACACATGCTTGGGACGAGGTTAATAGGGAGACGGTGTGGCTGACTGAATGGTGAAAGGGAATGGTGGGGATAAGGGGCTGAGCAGGCCCTCCCAGGCACACTTGCATTCCTGAAGTGTATGCACGGGTGAAGGGAGTAAGGAGCAGCACCAGCGAGTCGGGTCCCAGGGACACGAAGGATCCTGAGGAGTCCTGTGCAGCAGTTAGTGGGCAGAGGGACAAGCTGGGGCTGGTGGCAGGTTAGGGGCTGCAATAGCTATGTGTGGGTCACCCCACCCTCGCTGAGCTCAGCGAGCAGTTAGCGCGCCTGGATTTAGTTCCGTTTATTTCCCTTTCAGGTACCAGACAAAGTAAAAAAAAGACTGGACAGATGGAGAGAGGGACGCAGCCAGCCAGGTTAGGGGTGGGATGGGAGTGGGAGAGGGGCCCTGCTCACATCACATCCACAAAGAACTCACTGGGGTTTCCCATGGCCATGCGGAAGGACTGTCTGCTGGCAGTCAGTTCAGGGGGCACCGAGGCCAGGTCGCGGCCTGGGGGGGCTCCTGGGGGTCCCATGGCCGCGGGCGGCGGGGGCATCATCAGCATGGGGGGGCCGTAGAGAGGGGGCACCCCGGGGGGGCCGTAGCTCGGGTGCGTGTGGTGGCTGCGCAGGCTGCTGGCCAGCGAGTGGTGGCTGCGGTGGCTGTGCTCGCTGGCGGCGGGCCCCGAGCGCTCGCTGGGCGCCCGCTCCCGGGGCCCCCGCAGGCTGCTGCTGCGGGTTGTGTGGTCCGACTCGCTGCCACTGCCGCCCGACTTGGAGTCTCCGGCCTTCGGGTCTTTCTCCTTCCGCCGGTCGCTGCCGCTGCGGTTGGAGCCACTGCTCCGGCTGCCTGCAGGGGACAGGCAGGGACAGGGCGGTGGGTGCTCAGAGCCCGCGGAGGAAGCCTGGCTCTCACCGGGGTCTCCCCTCCACCTTACTTACCTTCACTGTGCTGGCTGCTGGCACTGCCCCCGCCGTAGCTGTACCCCAGCTCCGGGAAGCCTGGGTGCGGGTTGTAGGGATGCGGGGGTGGCGGATACTGGTAGGGAAACGCCATGGGCCAAGGGGCGGCCCCCGGGTGCGGCAAAGGGGCCAGTGTGTCCTGGTCGGAGGCACCGCTGGAGCCGTCGTGGTCGTGGAGGGACAGGTTGGCCATGTCTGTGGAGGGCGGGAGAGGGCCGGATGCTGGGACTCTCCCACACCTTGTGTGTCAGGAGAGAGGTCCCAGCCCAGGCTGGACTGGATGCATATGAAATGACAACAGCAGCGGTAGTTCCCCGCCATTATGGGGGGAGGCACAGGCCAGCGAGCTCACATTCCTTCTTTAGACTCTCTGCACCACCGCAGAGATGGTAGAGAGGGAGCCCCTGCAGAGACAGCCCTTCTGAGTCACCATTCCTGGCCTCAATGCCAAATCCTGACACCCAACTCCCAGAAAAGCCTTTGGCAGTTAGTTCCTCCTCCTTCCTCAGTGGAGTGGAAGGGGAAAACTCATTCTGTTCACTTAGCGCAGCGATTTTCAACAGGTGTGCCACAAGAATTTTTAAAACATGCAGGACCTGACTAGCGAGGGCTCTGACCTCTTTTTCCTTAGATTGTCAAATAAAAGAACAGTGGCCAACACAACAATAACCCTCCCATGTGAGTGAGTCAAAATTACACCAATCTCTCTCTCTCTCTCTCTCTCTCTCTTTTTTTTTTTTTATCAGATTGGCAAAACAATTTTTTGTGTGTGTGCCACAGAATTTTAGTAATTAGTTTATATGTGCCATGAGATGAAGAGTGAAAATTGATGACTCAGAGGGTAAAAGGTAGGGGAATGTAGGAAGCTGAAATCTCAGACAACGATCAGGTGGTACTGCACACCTGCACTTCATTAGGCACAAATCAAAACACTATCTCATACAAATATTACCCCAACACTATGAAGAAGGTGCTAGGCACTTTTTTTCTGAGATGAAGTGCAGTCCAGAGAGGTTAAATGACCAGCTTAAGTTCAACCTAAATTATAGCCAGAGCAGAAGCTATTTTTTTACACTTCCAGATGAGGTTATTAGTAAGGAGTACTAATAACCTGCTTATTTTTTTACACTTCCAGATGAGGTTATTAGTAAGGAGTAGGGACCAGTTTGGTGAAATTGTGCCATTCCCCCTCACCTAACACTAAAAAAAACCCACACCATTAAAAACCAGAATGAACATAGGGCCTTTTCCAAACCTCCCCATGTAGAAGGCCATTGGCCAGAATCAGTTTTCTGGTGCTGCAGGGAGGGTGGGAGTGGGGTGGGAAGGGCCCAGAAAGAGAACAAGTTAGGTGCCTCTTCTGTGCTCTCCACCCATTCCCAGGGAGGCGTGGGTCCTCACTGTATTAACATTACTTCTTTCATGACTCTGACTCTCCCAGTAAATTATGTACCTGTTAAGGATAAGGATGCCCCCACTAAGTTGGAACTGCCTGGAAGGGAATATAAGGGGCCACTAGACTAATGACTTGCCTCGGACACCCCTTGCTCACACCCCATCCATACCAGGTCCCAGAGGCCTGCCAGATACAGACTGAGCCCTTAAGCCAGCCCAACCTTCCAGGGGAGAAGAAATAAGGAAAGGGGGGCCAAGGGGGCTAAAAAAGACAATGAAGTCTTCCAGCCACGCCATGAACTTGTCAAGGCCAGCAGCTAGCATGAAGGGTGGTGGTGGTAAGCAGGGGCCTGCCTTGGCTCATGTTCCAGGAGCTGGTGACTATTTCAATCTCAGGCTATCATCCTAAGGGGAGTGACTATGTGCTCCTGGGGCTACCCAGGCCCTTAGCTTTTCCCTTTGAGCTTGCTACACTGCCAGCTTAGGACATCTTAGCCAGTAGCAGGAAAAGGCCTGTTACGTCAGCTTTTCCTTGAGCTGGGCCTCTGGTGGCCAGGGCTATGGGTAGAAGATCCAGGAGGACTCAGGGATGGAAGGATGTCTCTTGAACAAAAATGAGAGCTTTTCTGAAAAGCTTTATGTGTTCCTGGAAATTTGGGATCAGGACTGACTTCTGCTAAGGATGACAGTAACCACACTTGATTGAGTCTAAGAAGCCATAGGCTGTAAGATGCACTCCCATTTCAGATACTGAAATTCGAAATAAGTGTTCATCTTAAGATCAATTAAATATATGAAGAATGGGGAACTTTTTAAAGGGTACTTTCTGTGGGCTAAACATGGTACTGAAAGCATTATATACATTACATCATCCTCAAAACAGCTCTATGATGTAGATTCTACTATTCCTTCCACTTTACAGATTAACAAATTGAGGCACTGAGAGGCTGTGTCACTCAGATTATCACAGTAAGGAGAACTTGAACTCAGAACTGTCTAACTCCAAAACTCTGCATCTACTCCATGTGGCCACACTGGAGCTGCTTAGGGCCAGGGACCCACCCTCCACCAGGACTTGTGCTCTGCAGAAACAGCTTTTCTGATCCATAAAACCTAATCTGAAGCATTTTAAGAGTTAGTTTTTGGACTCCAGCCAGCACCACTGGGCTCGGAGAAGGTTCCTTCAGGTAGAGGTGGCTGCTGGGGGAGGGTTTCAGCTCCCAACACTGAGCGATGCTGTCCTATTTCAAAAACTCCCCTTCCAGACGGCTTCCATGCAGACCCCTCTTGCTTACTAACCCTAACTGGTTTTGCACTCTTTCAGGACCAAGCCCAGCTCCTTGTTATAGCTTGTAGAATCCTCTATAACAGTGGTGGAGAACCTTTTCCTGCCAAAGGCCATTTGGATATTTATAACATTATTCACAGGCCATATAAAATTATCAACTTAAAAATTAGTCTGTTGCCGGCACCGGTTTGGCTCAATGGTAGAGCGTTGGTCTGCGGACTGAAAGGTCCCAGGTTCGATTCCGGTCAAGGGCATGTACCTTGGTTGTGGGCACATCCCCAGTAGGGGGTGTGCAAGAGGCAGCTGGTCGATGACTCTCTCTCATCGATGTTTCTAACTCTCTATCCCTCTCTCTTCCTCTCTGTGAAAAATCAATAAAATATATTTTAAAAAAAATTAGTCTGTTATATTTGGTCATGCATTTAATTAACTCACCCCTAATTCCTCAGCAGGGCAAAACCAAATGATTTCAAGGGCCTTATACTGCCCACAGGCCGACATCCCCCACTCCCCTCTACAACCTGGCCCTGAGAGCTTCTCCAGCTCCATCCTGAAGCCCAGTCCCTAACAGAGGTCTGAGGAAGCTGTGGACATGGGGCCTCAGACAGAGCCTACGTCCTACCCTGGAGGAACCTGCTTGATGCTGGGAGGCTAAGCAAGGCCCAAGGACAGGAACTCTGGCTTTGCTAAGACAATGTTTCTCCACCACCACACACCTGGTCAAATCCAGGTGGTGGGGCCAAAACCGGTTTGGCTCAGTAGATAGAGCATCGGCCTGTGGACTGAAAGATCCTGGGTTTGATTCTGGTAAAGGGCATGTACCTTGGTTGCAGGCACATCCCCAGTTGGGGGTGTGCAGGAGGTAGCTAATTGATGATTCTCTCTCATTGATGTTTCTGACTATCCCTCTCTCTTCCTCTCTTTAAAAAAAAATCAATACAATTAAATAAAAATCTAAAAAAAAAAAAAAAAAAAAAAAAAGGGTTATAAAAAAACAACCCAGGTGATGGGGAGAACAAGAACTCTGGAGCCAGAAAGACCTGGACCCATGGCCTAGTTCCTCTGCTTCTAGTAGTGAGGCCTGGGGTGGACTATGTACCTTCTACTTATCTCAGTTCCTCATCTGAACACAGGGATAGTAATCCATCTCCCCAAGGGTGGAGAGGAGGTTGTGAGGACTGAGTGACAGAGTGAGATGCTGTTTTAGAAACAATCAGCATGGTGCCAGCCACTTAGAAAATGCCGGCCCCTCCAGGAGACGCAAGGCAGGTGCAGAGCCTGAACTGGGTTCTGCTTCCACCACAAAATTCTCAGGCCTAGAGCTGGGAGCCCAGCCCTGCCGCCCCCTCCTCTGGATTCCCTGGAGTCTGCTGCCATACCCGTGGGCACCGCCCCATGCCCAGCCAGAACACAGGGAAGGGGGGAGGCACATACTGCCGCAGAGGTCGCCGAAGATGTAGTAGCACTGCTCGGAGAAGGTGATCTTGTTGACAGTGTGGCGGATGAAGCCAGCTTTCAGCAGGTTGCTTGCATACTTGCGGGCTTCTCGCCGGTCAGTGAAGCCTTCCACGTTGTGGTACAGCCAGTCCACCACATCCGAGCCTGCGAGCAAGGCTGCCTTTGATTGGGGGGTCCCCCTTGGGCTCATCTGGCCTCACAGAAGCCACGAGGCTGGGCCTGGTCCCAGCTCAAGGGAGTTACTGGGTGCCCAGCCTATCCTTCTCCCTCACTGTCCACCACCCCATCCTTCATCCCATCATGGGGCCCTCTCACCGATGAAAGCGTTGGGGATGGTGATCTTGAGCCACATTCGGTCGCGGACCTCCAGCCCGGATTCAGGGGAGGCCATGGCTTTCACAATGGCAGCCATGTCGCTGTGGATGGACAGGTGAAAGTCGTCTAGGCCTGGGGGTGGGAAGCAAAGTGGTCAGGCAGAAAGGGGGTGTGGAGTTAGGCAGACAGGAGTTTGCATTCCAGTTCTACCACCTAATAAATATAGACCAGTATTGGACAAATTATTGACATCTTGGACACTCAGTTTCTTCTGTAAAAATAGGGACTTTCACATCTATTTTATAGGGATGTTTGAAGATAATTAAATAATGTAAATGAAGGTGCTTAGTACAGTGTATAATGTGTGTTATGATAATAAAAATGGCAGTCATTATTATGTGCTTGCTTTATGCCACACACTGTAATAATTGCTTCACTTATATCCTCTCATTAACCCCCAGGAACCTGGTAAAGTGCACATCTTCAGTCCCATTTTACAAGAGGAAACTGAGGCTTACTGGGTGCTCAATACCAGTCAGAAGCAAATACTGTTTAGTGAGCTTCGGGTGTCCCGAGGGAAGCTGCAGTGTGAGGTAGCTGGAATGAGCCGAGACCCCTCCAGCCCCTCTGCCTTTCAAGCAAGTCTCCACGTGGACCTCCATCAGTCCCTCTCCCCTGGCCCTGTCTGCTAGGACCAGGGGGCAGGGCTGGACACTCACGCTCTGTGTCAGGGATGGAGCTGGTGATGGAGGAGCTGGTGGAGGTGATGGTGCTCAGGGAGGGGCTCATGCCGTAGGCAGGGAAGGTGCCAGTCATGGCTGCAGTGTGGGAGACCCAGGCCGCAGGGTCAATGGGCCGGATGGGCTCGCCTGCAGGGAGGATGAGGAGTTAGGGACTGCCCACTCTGTCCAGAGCTGGGCCCAACAGGGTAGATGTGAGGGTTCCAGGCTACACAGAAGGCAGGACAGACAGGGCTGGTGTATGCCAGACACCTGTTTCAGGGCTGAGTTCCCCATCCACTTACTCCTGGGCAATGTGAAGCAGCCACGTGGACTTGGGTCCCAGCACTTGGCTACAGTCAGGGTGATGGGCCTGAAAGCAAGGGGGTCCCTAGTGAGGGCAGGATGTTTGGAGGCGAGACCAAGCCCCTTGCCTGATAGCCAGCAATGCCTGGCACCTCCTCCGCAATGCTCCAGCCCAACCGTACCCTGGTTTGTGCACAATCTCCCGCAGTACCCGGACTGCGTCGTCATTACTCATGTTCTCAAAGTTGATCTCGTTTACCTGGGAAATAGGACCAGGAATGGGATAAGCAGCCGGGCTGGGGAGGGAGTTAGGGAAGCTTGGTGGATCAGGAGGTTTTCCCCACCAAGAAGGGGCTTCTGAATAGGGTAGAGAGGGTATAAGGAATGAGAAGGAACAGAGGGCACACCCACTCCCTGTCTGCACCACCAGCCACAGGGGACAATGTACCTGTAACAGCATATCTCCGGGCTCGATGCGTCCATCGGCAGCCACGGCCCCACCCTTCATGATGGAGCCAATGTAGATGCCTCCGTCACCGCGCTCGTTGCTTTGGCCCACAATGGAGATGCCCAAGAAGTTATACTTTTCTACAGGAAGTAACAAGACCTTGAAATGGGAGCAAGGTTCCTAACCAGATTCTGAGCCCCTTGTTAGAAAGAGTGGAAAGGAACAAGAACTAACATTTATGGAACTGGAGCCAGGCACTGAGTTCAGCATGCTCATTTAATCCTTGACTCTCAGTCTTATTTTACAGAGCAGACAACTGAGGTTCAGAGAATCTAAGTGACTCTTCTATGCCATTAAGTGGCAAAACCAATATTCAAACTCATTTAATATATTTTATTGATTTTTTACAGAGAGAAAGGGAGAGAGATAAAGAGCTAGAAACGTCGATGAGAAACATCGACCAGCTGCCTCTTACACACCCCCTACTGGGGATGTGCCCGCAACCAATGTACATGCCCTTGACCAGAATCGAACCCAGGACCTTTCAGTCCACAGACCGACGCTCTACCACTGAGCCAAACCGGTTTCGGCTCATTTAAATTCCAGACAAAGTTGGGATTCTTTTCACTACATCCAGCTATCTCCTAAAAGAGTGGGTAGGGCAGAAATCAGAGAACAAGAATGCAACAGCTAAAACATGGAAAATGGGAAGGAATCAGAAATCACTTCCTCCAGGAAGCCTTCCCTGATGCTTTTCTCTGCTGCCATAGCTCCATGTGCTTCTCTCTGTCATAGCCCTGATGATGAGATACTGACATAATCAGCTTAGGTGTAGGAAAGAGAGCTCCTTGAGGACAGGGAACATAACTTGTGTCTCTTTAAACTCCTCGAGTCTGCCCAGTGTCTGGCATACAGTAGGCACGCAAGCGTGTTGTTTCACCAGACTCACCCATGTTGAGAGTGACCGTGATGATGTTGAGTGACATAGTGGAGTCCGTGATGCTGCTGAAGGATGAGGACTGGAATAGAGAGAGACTCTGAGCAGCAGGCAGGGGTGGCAGGAGCTCACTGCTCTCCCCTAGCTCCTCCTCGAGGCGAGCCTTCAGCCACCACCTTCCCTCTAAGGCTCTAAACACTGGCCCGGGGGGAGGGGACCTGCGGACGGATAAGCCCCGGCCTTGCCCCTCATCCCTGGCCGCCCAGGCCCCATACCCGCTCGATCCGGGGGGCCTTCTGCTTCCGCCGCCGCCGCTTGTGTCTTCTCATCAGGCGTGAGGCGCTGCTCCGCTCTGTGGAGCTGCTGAACCTGCGGGGCCCACAGCCGTTCCCCACCAGGCTGACCTAGCCCTGCCCCGTAAGAGGCACTGCAGGGCCCAGGTCCCCAGCACAAAGCCCACGTCCCTCCCAGGGGCCCAGGATCCTCAGGGTTCAGAGCCCCAGAGGGGGGTCACCTGCCCACCGGTCCTCATGAAACCAAGGCCCTACCTGCTGGTGGAGTCGTCCTCCTCGGAATCAAAGAAGCTAGTGGTCTCCAACTCGCTGCTCATGAGGGTGGTCGAGCTGTCATAACCCCCGGGCTCTCGCCGCCGCTCCCCTTTTGCAGTTCCGTTTAGCCGGGTCGCTGCAGGGGATGGAGGCAGCTGGGTCCACGGTGCCCAGCGTAGGAGGGGAGGGAGGAGAGGCAGGCCAGGGGCTGCACTGGGGCCAATCCTATCCAGAGCTTGGGCAAAGGGGTGGTCAGCTGAGTGGAAGCTGTGGGGAGGGCATGGGGGCCGGGGGCGGGGGGGGGGGGGGAGGCATCTGTTCAGGGAAGACGCACTGTGCTCTGGGCCGTCCCTCCTGCGAGGCCGCTCCCGCTGGGCAGACACCAAGGAGTCCGTCTCTGTGTCGTTGTCCAGGTTCTCCTGGCTGCCCCCACCAGCATGAGGGCTGCAGGGAAGACAGGACTTGGTGGGGGGAGGGGGCCGGCTGGGGGCTCCCTCCCCCAGCCCTGGGCTGAGCTGAGCTGGCCCTCCCCACAGACCCTGTGGACCCTCAGGTCACACTCACTGGAAGGACGGCGGCCGGGAGTCCCCGATGCCTCCTGTGCGCTCCATGGGAGGCGGCAGCTCCGATGGGTTATCAGCACAGAAGGGAGCTGGCTCTGGGTGCGAGCCTTCAGCTGACACCAGCTGATGAGGAGAAAATGGGAAGGTATGGCAGGAGGGCAGGGAGAAGTGGGATAGTTGGCTTCTGGCAGGGCACGAAGACTTGGGGCGAATGAAGCAGGGGACGCGGAGGGAAAGGAGACAGGACTACGCAGGGACGGTTGACCCGCTGCCAGGCTGACGGTGGCAGGGAAGCACGGGCGGTGAAGAGGGATGAAGGCAGAGGGTAAAGGTCCATGGCAGAGTCCAGCAGGTGACAGAGGGAATCTGAGGCAAAGTGCCTCAAAGGGCATAGGAATCAATTTTGCCTCCTATGTATGTTTCTGTACCCGCCTTTTCCCTTTCACACCTGTCCCCCAGTTTTCACCCAGGCTGTAGAATTTGGGGTAGAAACTGTTCAGTTAGAAACTCAAGGACCATTCAGATACTGAAACATAAAACCACCAGCTATACCTTAGCGATGTCTTCCCTCCATCCACCCCATGGCAGGAATGTGGACGGAGGGAGGGTTGAGGAAGGGTCCTTACCCAGGACACCACCCGGCCATTGAAGCAGGGCAGCTTGGCATTGTCATCTGAGATCTCCTCCTTCACCACTCTGCAAGGAAAGGGAGGCTGTCAGTGAGCTCTCTGGGTTAGGAATGGAGGTGTCCTCACAACCCCAGCTCTCAGGGGCTCCTCCACCCTAAACTGGGAATCAAACCACCAGCACGAGCCTGTTCAAACAGCATGGGTGGGGATGGCCCAGCTGCCTTCTGGGGTGTCCTCTCAGTCACCAGGTGATCTGCAAATTACACCTGACAGATCGCTGCCCCCATGAGTGCCACCACTCCCTAGAATCTCAAGAGTGCTTTATCCATCCCCAGTCAGGCTCTCAGGGGCTGGACTTTTTCTTTCCCTCTGACCCTAAACGAGGAAAAAGCACACCCTGATTACCGTCCTTCCCTTCTCAGCTGGGAATCCGGACATTCTTCTGGGAGGTGTGGGCGAGGAATTTAAGGAAATTAGGAAAGAAAAAGGGAGAAGACATTTACTGCCGTTATGATAATAGTAACAATTGCTCTCATTGATTGAGTCTGTATTATGGGCCAAGCACTAAGTGAACACTTTACTTGTATCATTTCGTTTAATACAGCGATGCTATAGGTAAGATACAGATGGGGAGACTAGGGTTCAGTAGGTTCAGAAATTCACCTATAGTGACACCACTACGTGAAGTGCTGGGATTTGAATCCTCATCATCCTGACTCTAAACCGATTATACCATCTTATCTCCACACAGTTATAACATTTATTCTTCACACCGGCCTCATTGCATAGACCTGTGGTCTGCAAACTGCGGCTCGTGAGCCACACGTGGCTCTTTGGCCCCTTGAGCGTGGCTCTTGCACAAAATACCACAGCCTGGGTGAGTCTATTGTGAAGAAGTGGTGTTAGAAGAAGTTTAAGTTTAAAAAATGTGGCTCTCAAAAAAGAAATTTTAATCGTTGTACTGTTGATATTTGGCTCTGTGGACTAATGAGTTTGCCGACCACTGGCCTGGACAATATGACCCCCATTTTATGAATAAGGAACTGAGAAACATTCAGTAACTTGTCCAAGGCCACGGAGCTAGAAGATGTCAGAGTTGAAATTCAACCCTAAGCTTGTCTGGCTCTAAACCCCACACTCTTTCGACAGTATTTCACATTCTGTCCTGTACGACAGAGGGGATGTAGGTCTGTGTGGAAGGTGAGGTAGGGGAGGCATTGATGTGAGGCATGGGGGGTGGGATGTGGTCAGAGGCAAGAAGTCACGCCATGACTACAGTTTGGCGCCAGCGGAAGAAACCGGAGTAGTTTGAGGTCCCTCAGACTGCATCCAACACCCAGGACAGAGCTGGAAGGATGTGACCAGGGGCAGGAGGGAGACACATGCCTGGAGCTGTGAGCAGAGAGGGAAGGAGGCTGCGAAGCCCAGTGCTCCCTGTTCTTGAAGAAGTTCTGCCCAGAACTGGGAACGTGCTTGGCTCCTTGCGATGTTCACATTCTTGGACTCACAGCCAAGTTCGAAGGCCGAGCCTACCCTCCCCCCTCCCATCCAGCCCTGGCTCCTCCACCATTTCCAGCCCCACCACGACCCCGAGAGAGCAGCTCAAATCATCCTGCTCAGGGCCACTGTGGCAGAAAGCCTGGAGACAGAACAGGCGGGAAAGAAGGGACAGAGGGAAGTACCTCAGACCTGTCAGCCAGTCCAGCCGAAGGACACCCTAAGCTTACAGCCCCTGTGGGAACTGGGGCGCAAAAGGAAAAGGGGGTGTGTGGGACGCATGGCAGGGGCTCTGTGACCTGCGTAGAGAGGATCTCCCCGTGGTGGGGAGCTGTGGCTGAATCCCCACAGCCCTCCCCCCAGCAGGCCCCACCACACAGCTCTAGCTACAGATGTTTCCTCTCTTTCTGGGGGTCACTGACAGGTCGCCAAGGCTCTGTTGACTCATAACGATCAGCTGATCAGCCTCAGACAGCTCCCTCCTCCCCCCCAGTGGTGCTAAATGGTTCAGGGTTCCACTGCACGTGTGCACGCACCACACTCTCACAAACTTGGGTTTAAATTCCAATTCTGCTACTTATTAGCCCTCCCATCTTAGAGAAGTTCCTTCACTTCTCTAAGCCTTTGTCTCATCCTGGTAAATGGGATTTGTAAATGCCTGGCACAGTCCAGACATACCATAAAAGCTAGTTTCTCACTTGGTGAATTTTTAGCAAGATCCATACCGGGAGTAAGTTTGCAAGGGCAGAAACCAAACACATCTGCCCATCATTCACCGTTCATGCAATTAAAAAGCCTTTGCTGAGAGAGAGCCCAGTGAGTGTTAGATCCCGTGCTTGCTATTGTCTGAACCTCAAGAAGCATCAGACCTGGAGCCTGCCTTGCTCTCTGAGGTTACAGTCCAGTAGACAGTTCACATAAGCATATTCCATGTGGGAAGTGGTCATAGTAGTCAGACCAGCAGAAGTGTTCACTGGTCAGACATCTATCTGCTCAGTGACACCGATGCCAAGTCCTGGCTAGGAGCAGGTGTATGAATAAACAGGATAAAATATCTTAACTTTAAAAGCTGCACCCAGAGGACAGGAGAATTTGGACATGGAGAGCCAGGGGAAGCAGCAGTGTTCCAGGCAAAAGGCCCAGAGGCAGGACCGTGTGAAGGCAGGACGGTGTGACATGGACAGGGAGGAACATAACTACTTCCCATGGTGTCCCTTCTGCAGCTCAAGGCCACTCTAGCAATGGGTACTGTGTTCTACACACTGTCTCCTCAGGGTTAAAAATGCTTATTCTTCTTCCCAAATAATGTAAGAGGGGTGGGCCTATCCTGAGCTTGACAAATCTTCTGGAGACCTCACACACCAGAACCTGAGGTGAGCCTGGAGGGGATGCAGAGGCGGCAGCCTTCCTCCTCTGGCCCACGGCCCCTCTGTCAGTAGGGGTCACCGGCCTCTGCCTCACCTCCTCAGACGGGGCTAAATGGCAGCCCTATCACCTCTACAGTTCGCCAAGGCTCAGCAGCTCCCTCAGAGAAGCTTCATCTGTAAAATGGTGATAATAATAGTAATACCTACTATAGTGGGATTAAGGCCTTGGGCTGAAGAGCCAGATTCCTGATGTTGAATCAAGGGTTGCCACTAACTAGCCAGACTGTGTGACCTTGGGTAAGTTACTTCAGGTTTTTGTGCTCTACTTTCCTCATCTGCAAACAGATGGTATTACTACCTACTTCATAAGGCTGTTAAGAGAATTAAATGAGTAAAAATTAGAAAAGTCCTTAGATCATTGTCTAGTACACTGTAAGCACCATAAAGAGTTGGTTAAATGTGTGTGTGTGTGTGTGTGTGTGTGTGCGCACACACACACACACAAACACACACACACAGACACACACAGACACACACACACAGACACACACTCCTCCATTCCTCAGCTATTAGTCCTTTGTGGTAAGCCTACCAGGTCTGCTCATTACTCCTTCTGGGGATAAAAAACAAAGTCAATCTCCAAAATCAATCTCCTCCATTTCATTTTTAGCATTGTTCTCGATCCTGTAAAAATGGCCTACTCTGATACTTTACAAAGGATGGTTCAAGTAACAGTGACGTATGCAAGATGTGTTCAGGTGTTACCTGAATGAACATTGCTGAATTCAACAGTTAACATTTATTTTTAACATAGCTTATAAAAAAATATAAATAGAAAATCAGACGGGTGATTCCCTATTACTGATTTGGCCAAGCTAAGGAAGAGTGAGTGGACTGACAGTGAATTTAAAGAATAATATTGTCAAGAGTGAGCAGATGTGCCGAAACCAGTGTGGCTCAATGGATAGAGCGTCAGGCTGTGGACTGAAGGCTCCCAGGTTCGATTCCGGTCAAGGGCATGTACCTTGGTTGCGGACACATCCCCAGTAGGGAGTGTGCAGGAAGCAGCTGATCGATATTTCTCTCTCATCGATGTTTCTAACTCTCTATCCCTCTCTCTTCCTCTCTGTAAAAAATCAATAAAAAATATATATACAAAAGTGAGATGTAATGGGGGGGTCTCCTATGACTGCAGTTAGGCCTGGTCAGGGGTAGGGCCAGCGCACTGGACTCCAGCTGATATGCCCTTATCCCCAGCCCCTGAGGCAGGATCTCAGACTCTCCTAACTCCATTCTTCTCTTACCAGGCCAAGGCATCACCCTCTCCCTCCCTTCCCTTGCCGATTGATGTCATCCTTCTTCAGAATTTTCCAGAGGAGATTCCCTGGAGAGGCTGGACCTCCAGGATCCGAAAGTAGGGGTGCCTGTCTCTGGGCTGAGGCCAGACTATATTAGACATCAGGGTTCCCCACCCCGGGGTAAGCGTAACAGCAGCAGAAAGGAGGTAAGAAGCTGCCTAGCACTTTCCACTGGAAAAGCACTTTCACACACAGGAGCTCTTGGGCTCATCAAACCCCGAGTTCCAGGGCGAAAGGTGACAACAAAACATGCCAGGCCAAGGGGGGAGAGGGTGCTTGCTTCCCAGGGCCAGGAGGGCTGGGGTCCTGGGAGAGAAGCCAGACACACGAACACTGGGAAGAATGTCTGCCCTCACTCAGCTCCGGGGCCTCCACTCCAGAGCAGGCAGGCCTCTGGCTAGGGCTGCAGAGGCTGCCTTCAGGCTTCCCCGCAGGCCTCCAGGCCCAGCGCCCAGTTAGTGTGGGGGCCTTCCCCTCCCCCAGTCCCCTAGGAGTTGGGGTGTGTGTGAGGGGCTGGCCAGGCTCCCCCTCCCAGGCCAGCTGCTGCAGAACCTTCCGGCTCCAACATTCCATCCCTTCTTAAAGGGGCAGTCCTTGCCTCCAAACTGGGCCTGTCCAAAGCCCACAGCTGGGGAGGAGAAGACCAGGCAGGGAGGGAGGGGAGGTGACCAAGAGGCGCTTCCTGGCCCTCGGACCCAGGCTCTGAGGCCCTTTCCAAGACCACCCCCTGGGAGGGAAAGGCCCCAGGTTGGAGAGGAAATCAGCACCTGGGCTAGTGTGGGTTCCTCTCCTTCGGGGTCAGGCGTTCTGCTCCCTTGACAACAACATCCTCAACACCCCGCAAGGAAAAGGGGGGGACAGCTAAACTCCCTGTCTGCAGGCCTTAGCTTCCAGCCTGGCGCCTGAGCACCCCTCGCCTCCCCCTCCCCTCAAAGTCCCACAGCACAGCCCTGGGATGCACGGTACTCCAAATATGGCTCGGAGCTGGGGAGCTGAGAAGATGGAGAAGAAGGCCGAGTGCCAAACCCCCCAAGTCTGTGTTGAAGAGGTGGCTCCGTGGGCAGGGGGGCGGGTGGGGGTGGGGGAACTGGGCGGAGGGGCGTGTGTGTGTGTGTGTGTGTGTGTGTCTGAGCCGCTGGCCTCTGAGAGGTGAGGGGGCTTCCCGGGCTGGTCCTCTGATGGCTCTTGGGGAGCTGGACGTCCCCCCTAAACCAGGGGGGCCAAGACTCTCAGAGAGGCTGGACCTCCAGGAACTGAAACAACCCAGGGGGGATCCCCAAAGGCCGAGGGGTCCCCAGCATCCAGGGCAGGGCTAGAAGCCAGGGGTGCAAGGGGGGTGCACCCTGCCCGGCGGCCTCTGGAAGCCGGAGGGGCTGGGGTCCCCCGGAGGCGAGGCGAGGCGAGGCGGGGGGCCGTCCTCACCCGAAATCGTCGTCCATGGACTTGAAGAAGAACTTGTAGCTGGGCCGCTGCAGGACGCCCTTAAAGTCCGCCAGGGTGACGCGCTCGGCGGGCAGGGGCAGCTTCACCAGGTACGGCGTCTCCTGCCCGTCCAGGTGGTAGATGATCTTGGTCTCGCCCATGGCGCCGGCCTCGGGCCCGGCGGCCCGCGCGCGGCCTGCTCCGGCGGCGGCGGCCGGGCCGGGCCTCTCGGGCGGCGGCGGCGGCGGCGGCGGCGCTCGGCGCGGCCCGCGGCTCTGCCCAGCCCCGCGCCCGCCGCGCCGCCCGCTCCCTTGTTCTCCGGCCGCTCCCGGGTCCCAGCGCCGCCGGTCGCCGCTTCCGCTCCGCACGTTCCCGGCCGGGCTGGTGGCGGCGACTCTTCCGGTGGCCGCGGCCCTCCCGGCTCTGGGCTGCGGCCGGCCCGCCGCTCCCCCACTCCGGCCCCGGCGCGCCCCGCCCCGCCCGGCCGGCCCCGCCCCCGGCCGCCCCGCCGCGCTGGCCCCGCGGCGGACGGCCTGGCCGCGGCCGCAGACACTCCGCCCGCCCGCCGGGCGGCGCGCTGGAGCTTGCGCTCAGGTCCCAGGCCCCCAGGGGAGCGTGGCCGGGCAAGTCTAGGCCCCCCCGGGGCCGGGAAGGCCGGTCTCCCCAGGGTGGCCACGTTCCTGGACGCCTCTCCCCGGTCCGGGCTCCGGACACCGCGGAGACGGGCTGCTCCCCTGCAGCGGGGACGGGTGGGACGCAGAGGTCGCTCTGGTCTCCAGAGGTGAGAGGGGGACACTTCAGACCAAGTATCCCTTTCTGGGGGAAAGCGACCTCGATGTGGCCTTGTAGGGTCTGTTAAGAAACATAGCTGCTGGGTATCAAGTCTACCAAATCTAGTGCCGATGCCTTCTTACAACTGCAGTACCTAAGTGCAAAGCAGTGGTTTAATAAATGCACTGAGCCCAGCTCATTGATTTAGCAGTGGTTGAGCGGCAACCTATGAGCCAGGAGGTCACGGTTTGAGTCCCCGTCTGGGCACATGCGTATGTTGTGGGCTCAATCCCCAGTAGGGGGCGAGCAGGAGGCAGCTGATCAATGATTCTCGTCATTGATATTTCTCTCTCCCTCTCCCTTCCTCTCTAAAATCAATAAGACTATATTTTAAAAAAAAAATAATAATAAATGGACTGAATGCAGAATGAGTGCAAGAATGAAGATGCACGTCTGACTGGGATAGTAAGTCTCAAACAAGAGGTAGATAGAATTGGTTCCTAACAGATCTCCTCATCCCTTACTAATGAATACTGAGTGCCAAGGCATACTGCAAGAGATAGAACAAAAACAAGACATAAGGTTGCCCTCAGGACATTTTCTTATCTGGAAGGAGGCTTGCAAATAAACTTCAAAGTGACAAATGCTATGAAAAAGATAAAATGGAGTGCCAGGCCGGGGTGGCTCAGTGGTTGAGCATGGACCCATGAACCAGCAAGTCATGGTTTGATTTCCCATCAAGGCACATACTTGGGGTTGTGGGTTTGATTTTCAGTGTGGGGTGTGCAAGAGGAAGCGGATCAATGATTCTCTCTCATCATTGATGTTTCTATCTCTCCCTCTCCCTTCCTCTCTGAAAGCAATAAAAAAAAGTATATATGTTTTTAAATTCCTGAGTTCTATTTTATTTATTTACTAAATCCTCACCTGAGGATATTTTTCCATTGATTTTTTTTAGAGAGGGAAAGACAGAGAGAAACAATGACCACCGGGGAAGAGACTGCAATCTCAATACATGCCCTTGACCAGAATCAAACCTAGAACCCTTTGATTTGTAGTCCAGTGCTCTACTCACTGAGCAAAACCACCTAGGGCTAAAAGTAGATTAAAAAAAAAAAAAAGAATACTGGTTCGAAACCGGTTTGGCTCAGTGGATAGAACGTCAGCCTGCGGACTGAAGGTCCCGGGTTCGATTCCGGTCAAGGGCATGTACCTTGGTTGTGGGCACATCCCCAGTAGGGGGCGTGCAAGAGGCAGCTGATCCATGACTTTCATCGATGTTTCTAACTCTCTATCTCCCTTCCTCTCTATAAAAAATTAATAAAACATATATTTAAAAAAAAGATAAAATAGAATGATGTGATGTAACAGGAGAAAGAAGGTTATGGGTGGTCAGAGGATGCCTCTCATTTGAGCTAAAACCTAGAACTAATGAGGAAGCAGCTATAAAAAGGTCTGGTCTGGAGGGAGAACATTCCAGCAGAGGTCATGACAAATATAAGGACTCAAGGCTGGAAAATACTTGCCTGATTTGAGGGACAGAAGAAGGCCATTGTAACCGCAGGGATAGTGTTAGGTGAGAAAATAAACTGGAACCAGTTCACACAGTCCTTTCAGGTCACAGTAACAAGTGTGAGCTCCTTCTCACTTCATTTTGTACACTATTGCCAAATTAACATTTCAAGAATAAGTAGCTTGTTCAGACACTTCTGCTCCAAAACTTCTCCACATTCCCCAATGCTTTCCAAATATCCTTAGTATGACATGGAAAACCCTCCATAATCTAACCTATATCTTATACAGACTTTTGTTTCATTATATATCCTGGCTAAATTTTTTTTTAATCCTCACCTCAGGATATATTTAGAGAGAGGGGGGGAGGGAGGGAAAGAGAGAAACATTGATTGGTTGCCTCCCATACCCACTGGACTAGGGCTCCAACCCATAACCTAGATATGTACCCTGAATGGAAATCAAACCCACAATCTTTTAGTGTATGGGACGATGCTCCAAACAGCTGAGCCACCCCACCATGGCCTGACTAAAGTCTTTACTTCAGCAAGGTGACCTATTAGCTATCTCTTGCACAAAATATGCATTTTCATTTCATACCCTTCCCTTTATATTTTTACTAGAGGCCCAGTGCACAGATTTGTGCACCGGTGGGGTCCCTCAGGGTGGCCTGCAGGGATGGGGCGAAAACAGCAGTCCAACACTACCTGCCACTCCTGCTCATCCTGGCCCCACTGGGTTTGCTGCCACCTCCCTCGGTAGGCTGGCACCTGCTCTGCTGTGGTGGGCAGCGGTGAGCCCTGAGTCTAGCGCCCTTCAGTCAGTGGTCAGCTGAGTGGTGCTCCCTGAGGGAGGAGGGGGGAAGGAGACAGCTCCTGCATTGAGCGTCTGCCCCCTGATGGTCAGTGCATGTCATAGTAACCAGTCGACTGGTTGTTTAGGCTTTTATATGTATATATATTGAATTTATATATTTTAAATTGAATTTATTGGAGTGACATTGATTAGTAAAATTATGTAGGTTTCAGGTGTACAATTCTATAATATGTAATCTATATATTGTATTGTCTGTTCACTACCTCACCTTCCCTTTATTTTTATTTTTTGTTATTCATTTGTTTGTTCTTTCTTTTTTTTTATTTTAAATTCTTTACTGTTTAAAGTATTATATAAGTCTCCCTTTCCCCCCATTGACCTCTCCCCAGCCACCCCACCTCCAAGCACATATCCTCACCCCCACTCCCACTGTCTGTGTCCATTGGTTATGCTCAAATGCATGCATTCAAGTCCTTTGGTTGATCTCTTACACTTTCCCCCACTGCCTTCCCTTATCGGTTGGACAGTCTATTTGATGCTTCTATGACTCTGGTTCTGTTTTTGTTCATCAGTGTATGTTGTTTATTCACCTTCCCTTTACTTTAAATTTCTGTCAAAGCAAATGTGTGACTAGTCAAATAGTATTAAGAAAGCTCTGAAGAGCCCTAATTGGTTTGGCTCAGTGGATGGAGCATCAGCCTGTGGACTGAAGGGTCCCAGGTTCAATTCCAGTCAAGAGCATGTACATTGGCAGCTGGTTGATGTTTCTCTCTCATCGATGTTTCTAACTCTCTGACCCTCTCCTTTCCTCTCTGTAAAAATCAATAAAACATAAAAAAAAGAGAAAGCTCTGAACAGCAATCTTCTGTCCCATTTCCCTCCCCACCCCACTATACATTTTTTAGTTCATACTATTTGTCTTTACTTTTTCTAGACAATTTAAAAAATTACTTATTTATTATTTTTAAACTATATTTTTATTGATTTCAGGGAGGAAGGGAGAAAGATAGAAACATCAATGATGAGAAAGAATCATGGATTGGTTGCCTCCTGCACATCCCCCACTGTAAATGGAGCCCACAACCCTGCAAGTGCCCAGACAGGGAATTGAACTGTGACCACCTGGTTTATAGGTCAGTGCTCAACCACTGAGCCATACCAACCAGAGCCATTTTCTTTTTATTATTATTATTTTAATCCTCACCTGAGGACATTTTTATTGATTTCAGTGATAGGATGAGAGACAGAGAAACATTGATGCAAAAGAGAAACATCAACTGGCCATTCCTGTAAGTGCCCCGATTGGGAATGAATCCAAAACTTAGGCATGTGCCCAGACCGAAATTCAAACCCAATCAAACCCTTGTGTTGTATGGTATGCCGCTGACCTACTGAACCACAGTGCTCAGGGACATTTCCTTTTATTCTTAAACTAGTGGCCCGGTGCACAAAATTCGTGCACATTAAAAGGGAATTAGCCGAAGCCGGTTTGGCTCAGTGGATAGAACGTTGGTCTGTGGACTGAAAGGTCCCAGGTTCGATTCCGGTAGAGGGCATGTACCTTGGTTGCGGGCACATCCCCGGTAGTGGGTGTGCAGGAGGCAGCTGGTTGATGTTTCTCTCTCATTGACGTTTCTAGCTCTCTATCTCTCTCCCTTTCTCTCTGTAAAAAATCAATAAAATATATTTTTTTAAAAGTTCCAGTTATAATTTTTTAAGAAAGGGAATTAGAGGAAATATTTTAATATTGTTATTTGCCCTTTCTTTATAATACAAGTGTCAGAGATGAAAGAAAATTAGTAAAATGTATATGAAAATCTCCCTCCTATCAGAGTCTGGGGCATGCTGCAGAACCTAGAGTCAAGTCCCTGCTCACCACCCACACGTGCTCTGAAAACGTAGGAGACGCAGATACGGCCGGCCTCACCCCCATTGGGTGAGACTCAGACCTGGCTGGCCCCACCCCGATCAAGCCCCTCCAGGCTGGGACCGCAGCCTGAGGTCCCCTGTCAAGCCCCGGACAGGGAGGTTATGGACTGAGGTCCCCTGACCTGGCACTGGG